CGGCGGCGGCGCCGTCGCCGATCAGCGCCGCCATGCTCGGCACCGGGCTCGGCACCATCGCCTGTTTCCACACCGCGTTCGCCGCGAGCGCGGTCGCGGCGTCTCGGACGCTCGCGACCCCGCGCGATCTGGGTGAAGCGATCGGTCAGTCGAACGTCTTAGCGGTCAAACGTTGAAAGGGAAGCGCGGGTGAAGAGTGACGACGGGAAAAGTCCTTAAGGAACGACGCGCACCACGCGAACGGGGTCGTATGGGAAGCAGTCTCACCCCAACCGCGCCACCGGGATCTGCAAGCCGGCGTGCCGTATGAGCTCCCTCGTGACGCTGCTCGCGAGCGACAGGTGTTTGAGCGCCGCGCACACGCGCGACTCGTCACGCGCGAGAGCGTCGTCGTCCATGTCCGCGGCCGCGGTGAGGAACCGCGCGAGGTCTTTGAGCTCTTCCGCGCGGTCGTCCGACGTCATCGCCGCGGCGTCCGGCTCGACGATCAGATCCTCAGACGCCGCCTCCGAGGCGGCGTCGGCGGCGTCCGAGATCGCGTCGGCCGCGCGAGGATGGAGCCTCGGGTCCCCACCACGCGGCGAAGGCGCGAGGCGCGACGGGGCGGGGACGGGGACGAGTCCCGGTCCCGGTCTGGAGGCGCCGACGCCGACGCCGCCGAGGCCGGCCAGGGAGGCCGCGGTGAACAGCGCGCTCCCTCGCGGCGGCGTCGGCGCCGCCGAACACGAAGGTCGACGGAGCGACGCGCGTTGTCCGGGCGGCGTGCTCATCCCGCCGCCGCCGCAGCGCCCGTCGCCGCTGCAGCGCCCGTCGCCGCCGCAGTGCTCGCCGCCGGCGTCGCAGCAGCGCGGGATCGTCTCCAGATGGATCAAGCCGCCGAGCGGGGGCGCGCGCGCGTCGTCGAACGCGCGTCGCTTTTTGAGGCGCGACCCGTCGGCGTCGCCGCGCGCCGCCGCCGCCGCCGCCGCCGCCGCCGCCATCATCCACGCCCTCGCGGCGGCGTTCAGCGGAAGGTCGCCGCCGCCGCCGCCGCCGCCGCCGTGTCCGACAGCGACGATCCCGTGACCTCCGCGCGCGTTCGCGTTCGCGTCGTCCGCCCACCCTCGCTTGACCACGCACTCCGGGGTGGGCACGCCGTGGTCGATGAACAGCGCGGCGGCGGCGGCGGCGACGCCCGCGGGGCGGAATGACCCGATGTCCGCGGCGCGAGAGACCCGCGTCGTCGTCGTCGTCGTCGTCGGTCGCGCGCCCGCGCCGACGATATCTGGCCACGCCCCGCCCGCCGCCCGCGTCGGGGTCCAGTCCACGCGCGTGAACGACCCGCCGGGGGCGGAGTCGAGGGGGGAGTCGAAGTCGGCGAACGCGTCGAATCCGCGGACGCGCGCGGGCGGCGGGCGGCGTCGCCGCCGCCGCCGCCGCCGCCGCCGACTTACTCTTCCGCTTCCTCGACTTTGTCACCGCGGGCGTCTTCTTCTTCCTTTTCTTCGAGCGCGGCGCGCGCGCGCGCGCGCCGCCTCCGCCGCCGCCGGCAACTCCGGAAGCCGCCGCCGGCGCCGCCGCGCGCCCCGGCTTCGACGGGTGGCACCCGGGCCCCGTCCTTCGGTCGCCGCCGCGCAGAAACGGCCGCGCGTGCACGATTCGCGCGTTGACCACCCTCGCGCCCGCGGCGATGGACGTCGCGGACGCGTACGACGACCTCTGACGCGGCGCGGTCGTCACCGTCTCCGGGTGCGCGCGGCAGTGCGGGCAGCGGTAGGGGGGGAGGTTCGGCGGCGGCGGGGTCAGGGCCGTTCTATACAAGCGAATGTCGGGGTGGAGTTGAAAGGCGTCAGAAGCGGAGTTGAAAGGCGCCGAGGGCGGGTATTGAAAGCGAGGTGTAGGCGCAGAGATGCGCCGGGAAAAGTCCTTAAGGATCGGCGTTCACCACGCGAACGCGGTCGTATGGGGACCAGTGTATAGAACGCACGTCAGCAGCCCCGCGACGGAGACGGTTTCGGTTTCGGGCGCCGCCGCCGCCGCCGCCGCCGCGTCGGCGTTCTCGCCGACGTCCGCGCCGCCCGGTGCTGCATCCTCCGCGCCCTCCTCTTCGCCGCCCATCGCGGGCGGCGGCGGCGGCGGCGGCGGGAGCACCGCCTCGGGCGCGTGCCTGAGCTCGCAGTCGTAGTGCGCCCACCCGTCGCAGTGGTCGCAGCCGATCCACGCCGGCGCGTCGACGGGGTCGTCGTCCGGCTTGCGGTAGACGTGCTCGCAGTGCGCGCAGAACCACCCGCGCTTGTACCTGCGGGGATGGATCGACGCGCACGCGGGGGGGGGGGTTCGTGTGAGATGTGAAACGAGCGCGGAGTGAACGTCGCGCGGGCGGCGGAAGGAGGCTCGCGAGGACGGCGCGCCGGCGAAGGCGAAAACGGAACCGAAAAAGGCGCGCGAAGCTCTCTGCGAGCCGCCGCGCGCCGACGACGAGCGCGCGCGCGCCACACGCGCACAGGATCCCGCAGGCGTTGCACAAGGTCACGGGCTCGGTCGCGCCCGGCCGCGTGTGCCCCTTCCTCCACATCGGGCTCGCTGCGCGCGAGGAGAGAGCGCGGGGCGAGGGCGTGAGCGGGCGAGGGAGGGAGGGAGGGAGGACGAGGCAGCGCGCGCGCGCGCGCGAGCGAGCGCGCCCCCTCTCGCGCCGCGGCGGCGGCTGTGGCGGGCTGTATTTAGGTTCTCGCGCGCGCGACGCCGACGGCGCCCGGAAACGCGCGCGGGCGCGACGACGCGACGCGAGCGAGGGCGCGCGACGCGAGCGAGGGCGCGCGACGCGAGGGCGCGAGGGACGCGCGCACCGTTCGTCCCGCACGCGGGGTTCGCGCACGTGGGCGACATCTCGCGCGTGCGCGGCGCGCGGCCGAGTGCGCGCGCGAGCGAGAGGACGCCGCGGGTTCTCGTTCGAGCGCGGCGCGGCGGAGAGAGGTCCGCCGCCGACAGGTACAGCTGGCGACACGCGGCGCGCCGTCCAGATTTTCTCGAGAGTCGAGGAAAAAAACCCAGCTGAGAGAAGACTCCGCTACTGCAGAGACGCGCGCGCGACGAGGGAGGATGACGACGACGACGCGTTCGAGGCCAGGGGAACGTCTTCGCGCCGGCGCGTCGCGGTAGCCGACCATGACGCGCGGCGGCGACGACACCGCGTCGCCGTCGGGCAGGACCGAACGCGATGCGAGCGGAGGAGGAGGAGGAGGAGGAGGAGGAGGAGGCCTCGGCGCGATCGTGGGTGCCCAGATCTCGGTCGACGACGCGGACGACGACCCGTCGCGTCGTCGCGCGACGTCCTCGAACGACATCGCGTCCGCGCCGACGCGGACGATCCACCAGGCGATGTGTTTCCGCCCCGAGGACGCGCGCGGGGGCAAGGACCCGGGAGGGGGGAAGAGGGACTCCAAGCATCACGGCGGGAGGCATCAGAATTACATGGCGTACAAGATTGAAAAGCTCGGCGAACAAAACGACGCGCGGCGGCGCCGAGGACGAGGACAGTCGGACGCGCGCGACGGCGGGACCGACGGAACCAACGGAACCGACGGAACCAACGGGGAGGAGGACGACCTCACCGAGGGGTTGTTCCACGGCGTGAGCGTGTACGTGAACGGCCTCACGGAGCCGCCGTGGATGACGATAAAGGACGTCGTGTTGGCCGGCGGCGGCGGGTTCGCGGTGCGTCCTATACACTGGTCCCCATACGACCGCGTCGGCGTGGTGAACGCCGATCCTTAAGGACTTTTGCCGGCGCATCTCTGCGCCTACCCCTCGCTTTCAATCCCTGCCCTCGATGCCTTTCAACTTTAACTGACGCCTTTCAACTCCACCCCGACGTTCGCTCGTATAGAATTATTACAGCCGCGCCGCGTGCACGCACGTCGTCTGCGCCAACTTGACGGACAGCAAGCTGGACAAGCTGAGACGCGCGGACGGGAAGCAGCCGCCGATCGTGAAGCCGGCGTGGATCACGGATAGCGTCAGGGAAGGGAGGCTGATGCCGTGCGCGGCGTACGCGCTCGAGCGGAGCGTCGACGTGGGGCAGCGTCGGATGACGAGCGTGCTGGGGCGAGCGGCGGCGGCGGCGGCTCCGGCTCCGGCGGCGGACGTCGACGTCGAGACACTCCCGGCGGCCGCGGACGAGATACTCCCGACGCAGGACGACGACGACGACGACGACGTAGAGATCGCGGCGACGGTCGAAGGCGAAGCGCGATCGGACGCGGCCGCGATGAAGGGGACGACGAGCGGAGAGGACGTCGTTCGCGTCGCGTTCGACACCGTCGTCGAAAAGATGAGAGCGCTCCCGATCGGCGTCGGCGGCGGCGTCGGCGGCGTCGGCGATCCGTCCGCGGCGGCGGCGGCGGCGGCGGCGGCGGCGGTGAAGGTCGCGTCCGCGGCCGCGTACGCCGCGCTCACGACGACGGTCGCGCCCGCGCGGATCGCCCCGGTGAGCGCGTCAGAGGCGCTCGTGGACTGGCGCGGCGAGCGCGTCGACGACGAGGGAAGACGTTTCGACGGCGCCGCCGCCGCGGCGACGGCGATCGCGACCGCGCTCGCGTCCGCGGACGTCAAGGCGTCCGTCTCCATCGCGCGCGTGCACCGGGACCACGGCGGCGGCGGCGGCACTTCTGCCCTTCGCGTAGAGATCATCGACGATGTCTTCGTCGCGGCGGCGGCGGCGAGTCACCGCGAACCAAGACCAAGAGACGCCGCCGCCCCCGCGTTGAAATCCTCGCTGAAGACGTCGACGTCCTCCGCGAAGCGCATGCGCTTCACCGTCGCCGCGGACTCCCCCTCCCCGCCCCGCCGCCGCCGCGCGGCGCCGCCGCCTCTCGACGGACCCGACCCCGGCCCCGGCCCCGGCCCCGGCGACGCGGGTGGGTCCATCCCGACGCCGCTGCGTCGCAGCAGTTTCGCCGCGTCCGCGGCGGCGGCGGTGGCGGGCGGGTTCGACGAGGACGCCGTCGACCGAGACGCGTGGGACGCGTTGCCGTTGCGCCTCCGCGCGGAGCTCAAGGCGGGTGGTCGGTCGCCGCCACTGCCGTCGCGTCTGCGGCCTCGCGCGGCGGCGGCGAACGCGAGCGCGAGCGCGACGACGACGCGGCGGTTGACGTTCAGAGCCGCCCCCGCGCCCGCGGACGCGTGTTCCGGCGAGTCGCCCGGCGGCGGGGAGGCGTCGCGGTTCGACGCCTTCGGGAGCCTTCTCGGGATCAAGCGCGCCGCGCGTCGGCCCTCGCCGCCGCCGCCGCCGCCGACGAAGACGACGACGGCTGCCGTCGCCCCGACGCCCGACGCCACGGTCAGCGCGCGCACGCGGGCGGCGGCGAGACGCGCGAGCGTCGCGGGCGTCCGCGCGGACAGCCTCCCCGCGTCGTTTTCGCAAATCGACCGAGACTTTCTGGACGCCATCGGCCCCGAGGAGCGGCGAGAGTTGGAGGCGCACTACGCGCGCGAGGAGCAGCGCGCGCGCGCCGCGCGAGAGACAGGGCTAGGGCGCGGCGGCGGGCGCAAGGGTGGACGGGGGCGCGGCAGGGGGAGGCACGCGACGCGGCACGACGCGAGGCAACGGGGGCTGCGCGGGTTCGACGGCTACGGGGTCGAACGGTTCGAGCCGGCGCCGCCGCCGCCGCCGACGACGACGACCGCGCTTCCTCTTCCCGTCGTCGACCTTCACGACGGCGAGGGCGAGGGCGAGGGCGACGACGTCGGGAGCGCCGAGGATGTCGTCGTCGCGCTCGAGACGGACGAGGAGATCGAGGCGTTTCTCGAGTCGTTGCGAGCGCGCGTTTCGCGAGTCGCGGAGGAGGAAGGCGCGACGCCCTCGGCGGGGTCTGATTTCCCCTCGCCGCCGACCGCGCCGCCGCTCGACGCCGCCGCGGAGCTTCTCTGCGAACAGGCGATGGCGTTAGCGAGGGCGCACAACCTCGAGGGGGTGAAAACGGTTCTGAAACGAGCGTTTCGATTCGCGAGCGGCCGCCCCGAGCGGTGGCGCGAGCTGATGACGACGGTGGCGGCGTGCGCGCAAGCCGTCGTCGAAGAAGAGTACGACGGGTGCGTGCTCGGGGGGCTCGAGGCGCCGGAGCGAGAGTGACGCGACGCGATGCTCACATTTCGTTCCTCTATCGTTCGCGCGCGCTCACAACGTACGGAAGTACTTCCGGAAGTACGTCCTTCTAGGTAGCAAGTAGGTACCGGTATCTATCTATTAGAAGCAGTGCAGCGTGGCTGCGTCTGTTCGTCGTCGTCGTCCTCCTCCTCCTCCTCGTCTTCAATCAATCCACTCCACGTCTTCACCCCTCGCGACGCGCATTCTCGACGTACGTCGACGCGTCATCATTCAGAGATCTCATCAGTCAGTACCCCTGCACCTCGAGCATGACCTCGTTCGTCTTCAGGAACCACGGCGTCCACGGCGGGTTGTACCCCGCCGCCGACGCCGTCGCCCCCGGCGCGGGCTTCACCCCGTCCCTCGACAGCTCCCCTCTCAGCTCCGCGTCTTTCTCCGCGATGAGGGATTGGCACAGGTTCCCGCTGAACGTCTTCGTCGCCATCACCCGCGCGGGAACGTCTCTGATCGCCACCTCCGGGGACGTCGGCGTCGGCGCGTCCGCGGCTTTCCGGAACCGACTCGCCGGGAGGAAGAAGCACATCTTGAACCCATGGTCGCCGTCGCCGCTCCCGCCGCCCCCGCCGCTCCCGCCGCCGCCTCCAGGGGCGCGCTCCATGAGAACGGGCGACGTCATGGCGATCGGCGCCGCCTCCGCGTTCTGCGGCTTCGCCATGACGCCGATGTACTTCGCGAGCTTCATGAAGCTCCCGCCTTGGTCTCCGCTGAACATCCCATCTCTCGAGACGTACGTCGTCTCCGCGACGACGCACGGCGCGTACCTCCGGATCTCGTACGCCGCGGTCTTCGCGAGGACCTCGTGCCTCGGGAGCTCCTCCGATATCTTGCCGAGCACGCTTCCCATGGTTGCGATGGGAGGGGGGGGGGTCGATTGCGCGGGGGGGAGCGCGCGACGTGTCGTGGCGCGGCGATCTTCTCTCGAGAGCAGAGTGCCGACGTCATCGTCATCCGACGCTGACGACACCACGCAGACGGCGAGTGTTCTATCCACCCCGTCGCCGGTCGTCGTCACACCGTCCCTGCGAGGCGATCACGAGATGAACGCTCTGTCGTCGCGCACCGTCTCGTCCACGCTCCGCGCGACGACCGCGAAGCGTCTCCGCGTCGCCGCGAGGTCGTCGTCGACGCGCGCGGTCGCGACGCGCGTCCGGGCGTCCTCGTCCGAGTCGGATGCCAGCGCGAATCCGCTCGTCGCCACGCGACGCGCGGTCGCGCTGTCGTCCCCCGTCGCGCTCGCCGCGCTCCTCGCGATCGCGACCCCCCCCGCTGTGCTCGCGGGCGCGGACGACTGCGAGAACTGCAGCAACAGCAACTCCTCGCTCGGCCCGGGGGACAAGGCGTTCGTGCAGTCCCCGTCCGGGGTGCGATACGCGGAGCTCAGAGAAGGCACCGGCGCGAGCCCCGCGGACGGCGACGTCGTCGTCGTCGAGTGGGTCGGGTACACGGAGGGGTACCAGGCGAAGAAGATCGAGTCCACGAGGGAGACGGACGCGCCGTTCATCTTCAAGCTCGGCGCGGGGGAGGCGATACCCGCGTTCGAGGAGGCGGTCCGCGAGATGAGGGTGGGCGGCATCCGACGCATCGAGATCCCGGGGGAGCTCGAGGAGAAGCTCGCGTACTCGAGGAACGCGGCGGGTGCGTCCTCTTCGCGCACTGGTCCCCATACGACCCCGTTCGCGTGGTGAACGCCGATCCTTAAGGACTTTTCCCGGCGTCTCTCTCCTCCCACCCCTCGCTTTCAATCCCCGCCCGCGACGCCTTTCGACTCCATCTGACGCCTTTCAACTCCACCCCGCCGTCGCTGGAACAACCCTCAGAGCGATACACCGTCGGGCCCGTGCCGCAGACGTTCGCGGGAAAGCGGACGTTGGACTTCGTCCTCGATAACAAGACGTTGAAGGACTTCAACCGGACGCTGCTGTTCGACGTCAGGCTGTCGAACATCCGGAAGTGATGCAAGAACGATGCGATGCTCACGCGGGGCCGCGGCGGTCGTATCGTACGCGTCTACGTGTACGAAAAGGAGAAGACGCGGACGCGCGGCGATCCGTCGAACGAATGAAGTCACGCGTCATTAGTATTCACGTGATGAACAATCAATCATATTAATGAATGAATCAACGCGCGATCGAATCGAACGAACGCGGCGTAGTTAATAAGTAGCGCGCGCGTCACGCGACCCCAGCGCTGAGCCGCATGAACCACGTCGCGAGCGACGCGAGCGCTCTCGCCGCCGCCGCCGCAGCGCCGACGACGCCGAACAAAAAAATCCCAACCCACCGCCGATGGTTCACGTCCGCGTCGAGCTCGTCCTCGTCCGCGCTCACCTGAAGCACCATCCCGGTCACGTCCGTTCCCTCCTGCACGACGCTGTCCGTCTCCACGGTCTTGTAGTGCATCCCGCGCGCGGGGTCCCACGACATCTCGCTCCGCACCCCCCCGGACGCCGTCGCCGCGCCGGCGACGCAGACGGTGGCGTTCGCCGCCGACGGCTGAGGGTCGTTCCATACGAGCGAACGTCGGGGTGGAGTTGAAAGGGTCAGGTGGAGTTAAAAGGCGTCGAGGCCGGGGATTGCAAGCGAGAGCTGGGCGGAGAGAGACGCCGGCAAAAGTCCTTAAGGATCGGCGTTCACCACGCCAACGCGGTCGTATGGGAACCAGCGTATAGAACGCACCGCGAACGCCGCGGCGAACACGCAGTCCGCGACGTCGTCCCTGCTCACCTTCCCCGCGCGCACGTGCGCGCCGCCGTGGCCGATGATCACGACCGAGTTCTCCGGCCGCGGCGCGTCGCTCAAGTTCCCGGGCCTCACCACGGCGTACTCCTTGCCCGCGGCGGCGACGATGGAGCGCGTCGCGACCTCGCCCGCGAGCTGCCACTGGATCGACATGGAGAGGACGACGTTCAGGAGCACCGCGATCGGGTGCATGGGCGCGTACCCGACGCTCATGCCGGTGACGCGCACGAACCTTCGCACGGACTTGGTCTTCGCCGCGGCTTTCGCGAGGCGTTCCACGCCGAGGTAGTTCACGAAGCGCGGATGCCGCTTGTCCGTCAACTCTGGTCGCGAGAAGAGGTCGGCGACGCGCGCGATGCGCTCCGCGCCGTGACACGCGACGACGCGCGTGCATCCCGCGACCGCGCGCTCGATTCTCGCGTCGTCGTCGTCCGTGACGTCGCCCTCGACGATCTCCAGGAGCGCGGACGACGTCGCGTCGCTGAACTTGGACGCGAGCTCGCGCGCGGCGACCGAGTCGGCGTCGCGCGTCATGACGCGGACGCGCACGCCGCAGTTGACGAGCGTGGAGACGAGGCGCCTCCCGACGCGCCCGGCGCCGCCGACGACGAGGACGACCTCGTCGGATTTTAAGCCCGGGATGGCGCCGCACGGGCCGCGGCCCACGGGGTCGCACGTCGCGTCCGCGTCGTCGCTCGAGCTCGCTCGCGTACGGACGATCCTGCTGACGCGGCGAGCTTCAGATTCAGACGACGGGAACGACGCGACGCGCGTCGCGCGGTCGAATCGCGGCCTCGCCGCGGGAGCGACGCCCCCGCGCGAGCGACGCTCCCGCGCTGCTCGCGGCCGCGCGCACGGCGCCAAGGCGCGCGATCGCGCCGCGATCGTCGCGGCCATCATCGATCGCGCGGTGAGCGAATGAATCGAATCGTCTCGAAGACTTCCAAAAGACTGCTCAAATTACTGAGGAATAAATCAAACCGGTCGTCATCAGTGCCCGAGGCCGACGCCGTTGAGATACGCCCCACCCTCCCCCCGCTTGACCCCGCTCTCGAACTCCAAAAGGTTCTCCACCGTCGTCGTCGCGATGTTCTCGAGCGCCTCCGCGGTCAAGAACGCCTGATGCCCCGTCACGAGAACGTTCGGCCGCGACGCGAGACTCGCGAGCTCGAAATCCCAATCCGCGCCGACGCTGCTCCCGCTCACGTCGTCCGTCTTCTCGCTCGAATCCTTAAAAAACACCCCAGCCTCCTTCTCGTAGACGTCCATCCCGACGCACGCGATGACGCGCTCGTCCAACGCCTTCGCGAGCGCGGCGCTGTCCACCAGCGCGCCGCGCGACGTGTTCACGAGCATGGACCCGGGGCGCATCAACTGGGGGTAATTGCCCATACGAGCGATGATATCGGGGTGGAGTTGAAAGGCGTCAGAAGCGGAGTTGAAAGGCGTCGAGGTCGGGCGTTGAAAGCGAGGGACCCTGGGAGGAGAGAGACGCCGGGCCGGGAGAGAAAGTCCTCGAGGATCGGCGTTCACCGCGCGAACGCGGTCGCGCGGGAACCGGTGTATCCCTTAGACCCGAGCATTTTCGTGTAGTAAACTACACACCGCCGATAAAATATGTGTAGTTAACTACACACCGGGTCTAAAGGGATAATAGAACGCACCCGCAGCCGGCGCTCGTCCATGAGGTGCGTCGTGCTCTCGTTCAGCGGGCAGTGCAGCGTCACGATGTGACAGAGCGGGAGGAGCTCCTCGATGGTGTCGACGTACTCCACGCCCATCGCGATCGCTTCGTCGCTCGGGTACAAGTCGTACGCGAGGACTTTGCACCCCATCCCGATGAGCGGCGCGGCGACGCAGCGGCCAATCTGTAGAGGGCGATTCCATGGGTCAGTTGAAAGGGGACGCGATCAACTGTTGACACCGAGGGATGGGTGAAAAACGTGTGTAGGGCATAGGCCCGAGGTGTTTGTAAGAACAGAACAGAACGCACCTTCCCGGTGCCGACGACGCCCACCGTTTTCCCGTGCATGTCGAACCCGACGAGACCGCTCAGGGAGTAGTTCCCCTGTAACACCCGCGCGTTAGACTTTATGAGCTGCCGGTTCAGCGCGAGCATGAGCGCGATGGCGTGCTCGGCGACGGCGTACGGAGAGTACGCGGGGACGCGCGCGACGGCGATCCCGCGAGCCGCGCACGCGTCCAGATCGATCCGATCGAACCCCGCGCAACGCATCGCGATGAAGCGCACGCCCTGGTCCGCGAGCGCGTTCACGACGTCCGCGCCGCCGTCGTCGTTCACGAAGAGGCACACCGCGTTGGAGCCCGCCGCGAGCGGCGCGGTCGCGACGTCGAGGGCGGCCTCGACGCATCGCACGCGTCCCGGGAAGGACGCCTCGAGGACGCGCGTCTGCGTCGTCTTCATGTACGGGCTCGTGCTAAAGACGGTGAGCACGAGGGGTTCGAGGCCGTCGAGGCTGCCATTGCCCGCCGCATTGGGCGCGTCGCGCGGCGCCGCGGTCGCGTCGCGGCGGACGACGCGCGAGATCGCGATCTTCCCGCACCATTTTCGGACGGAAGCCGCGGGGCGCGCGCGCGTCGTTCGTCGGCGCGAGGAGGACGCGGACGCGGACGCGGACGCGGACGCGGACGCGGACGCGGGCGCCGCGGTCGCGAGCGCGAGGGCGGGCATGACGCGCGCGAGGTCGGCGGGAGCGACGTGTCGAGGCTCGTCGGGCGCGCGATTCAACAATAACACTCGCCGAGACGCGGCGCGGCGCCTCGAAACGTCGACTCGCGCTCGCGAGTCGCGACTGAGTAAACGTTTTTCACCCATCTCTCGGTTTCACCATTTGATCGCTTCCCCCTTTCAACTATCCTATGAACTCTTGTGAACATGGAATCGCCGCAGGTCACTCCCAGTCCCGTCTCGACGAAAACAGGCGGGAATTCCTCCTCCCCGCCGCCAGGGCTCGCGCGCACACGGAGGCACGCGACCGCACGACCGAACGCCGTCTCACGCGCGCTCGTCGACACAGCCCTCGCGCGACTTCCACGCCGCGCTCGAACCGGCGCCCGGACCGCGCGATCCCTCGGATCTGTCCCCGATCTCGGTGAACTCGAGCCCGGGGCGATCGTCGCGAGGAAAAACAAAACTTCGCGCGTCGATCGATCGCGGCAGCCCGATCGGAACGAAAGTCGATCGATCGATCCGCGAAGAATAAGAAGTAGCTAGCGAGCGACGCGCGTCGACATCGCGATGGCGTCGACGCAGATGGACTTCGACAAGGACGAGAACATCTCGTTCGAGACGTCCAAGGGCGTGAACGTCGTCAACACGTTCGACGCCATGGGCATCCGGGAAGATCTCCTCCGCGGGCTGTACTCCTACGGCTTCGAGAAGCCCTCCGCGATCCAGCAGCGCGCGGTCATGCCCATCTGCAGCGGCCGCGACGTCATCGCGCAAGCTCAGTCCGGCACCGGGAAGTCCTCCATGATCTCCCTCGCGCTGTGCCAGATGCTGGACACGTCCACGAGGGAGGTGCAAGCGCTCGTGCTGTCCCCGACGCGAGAGCTCGCGACGCAGACGGAAAAGGTGGCGCTGGCGCTGGGAAACTTCATGTCCGTGCAAGTCCACGCGTGCATCGGCGGGAGGTCCATAGGCGAGGACATCCGGAAGCTCGACCACGGCGTGCACATCGTCAGCGGGACCCCGGGGAGGGTCTTCGACATGATCAAGCGGCGGAACCTGAGGACGCGGAACATCAAGACGCTCATCTTAGACGAGGCGGACGAGATGCTCAACAAAGGGTTCAAAGAGCAGATCTACGACGTGTATCGGTACCTGCCCCCGGAGACGCAGGTCGTGCTCGTGTCCGCGACGTTGCCCGTGGAGGTGCTGGAGATGACGACGAAGTTCATGACGGACCCGATCCGCATTCTCGTGAAGCGCGACGAGCTCACGCTGGAGGGAATCAAGCAATTTTTCGTCGCGGTTGAGAAGGAGGAGTGGAAGTTCGACACGCTGTGCGATCTGTACGACACTCTGACGATCACACAGGCGGTGATCTTCTGCAACACGAAGCGCAAGGTGGACTGGCTCACGGAGAAGATGCGCGCGAATAACTTCACCGTGAGCGCGATGCACGGGGACATGCCGCAGAAGGAGCGAGACGCGATCATGGGCGAATTCCGCGGGGGGACGACGCGGGTGCTGATAACCACGGACGTCTGGGCGCGCGGGATCGACGTGCAGCAGGTGTCGCTCGTCATCAACTACGATTTGCCGAACAACCGCGAGAATTACATCCATCGGATCGGTCGCTCGGGGCGGTACGGGAGGAAGGGCGTCGCGATCAACTTTGTCAAGGCGGACGACGTTCGCATCTTACGCGACATCGAGCAGTACTACAGCACGCAGATCGACGAGATGCCGATGAACGTGGCGGATCTGATCTAAGTAACACAGTATGTACTCGCGATGGGCGTGTGCGTTCGCGCGATTGTAATTCATCGATTTGATGAGAGAACTGGGGTCGTCGTCGCGTCATTACAACCGACGCCGTTTGTCTCTCGCGTCTCCGCGTCGCTACTAAGTTAAAATCACCGCGGTGCGGTCGCTCCTCCTCTCCGCTCGATTCTTCTCGCCTCCCCGAGTCGTTCGCATCTTCTCGTCGTCCTCCTTTCCTCCGTCTTCTCTTCTTCTCCGCGCGTCGCTTTCACTTTGAGTCCTTCGACCCGTCGGTTCGTTCCGATCTGAAGCGATTTTTATTCACTCAGAGCGAAAAGTTACCGGGCATGTTCGGATCGGGAGCCGCCGGCCCCGCGCCGATCGGCATCGGCTCCTCCGGAATCTCCGTGATCACCGCCTGCGTCGTGAGCACCATCCCCGCGATCGAGCACGCGTTCATCAAGCCGCTGCGCGTCACCTTCTTCGGGTCGATGACCCCGCCCTCGATCATGTCGATGAACGTGCCGTCCATCGCGTTGTACCCCATCTCCCAGTCAGAGTTCAAAACCTTCTCGACGATGACGTCGCCCTCCACGCCCGCGTTGTTGGCGATGATCCGGCACGGCGCGACGAGGGCCTTCTGGACAATCTCCGCGCCCAAGCGCTCCTCCGGGTCCACGAGCGTGTCCTTGAAGTCGTTCACCATGACGGAGAGGTGCGCGAGCGCGGCGCCGCCGCCCGGCACGATGCCCTCCTCGATAGCGGCGAAGGTCGCGTTCTTCGCGTCCTCGATGCGAAGCTTGCGGTCCTCGAGCTCCGTCTCCGTCGCGGCGCCAACCTTGATAACGGCGACGCCGCCGGAGAGCTTCGCGATGCGTTCCGAGAGCTTCTGCGTGTCGTAGATGGAGTCCGTCTCCGCGAGCTCTTGCTTGAGCTGCGCCACGCGAATGTCGATCTCGTCGCGGGACGCCGCGTCCGCGATGAGCGTCGTCGTGTTGTTCGTGATCGTCACCTTCCGCGCGTACCCGAGCGCGTCGATCGTCGCGCTCTTGACGCCGAGGCCCAGGTCCTTCGCGAGGAAGGTAGACCCGGTCACGATCGCGATGTCTTGGAGGAGGGACTTGCGGCGTTCGCCAAATCCGGGGGCTTTGATCGCCGCCACGTTGAGAACGCCGCGGAGCTTGTTCACGACGAGCGTCGCGAGCGCTTCGCCGGCGACGTCCTCCGCGATGATGAGGAGCGGGTCGCCGCCGTTCTGGGACACCTCCTCTAAGATCGGGACGAGGTCCTTCACCTGCTCGATCTTTTCATCCGTCACGAGGATCCTCGCGCCTTCGAATTCCACCTGGAGGCGCTCGCTGTTGGTGACGAATTGCGGCGAGATGTATCCGCGGTCAATCTCCATGCCCTCCTCGACCTCGACCGTGGTGTCCAGACCGCTGCCGTTCTCGATGGAGAGCACGCCGTCCGCGCCAACCTTTTCGATCGCGTCCGCGATCATTTCGCCGATCTCGTCGTTGTTACCCGCGGAGATGGACGCGACGGCTTTGATCTCGGCGCTGCCGCTGATGGGCTTCGCGAGCTCCTCCAGCTTCTCCGTGAGATACCTGCGCGTCTTGTCGATGCCCTTGTTTATGGAGATCGGGTTCGCGCCCGCGGTGACGGACTGGAGGCCGAGTCGGATCATCTCGCGCGCGAGGACGGAGGCGGTGGTCGTGCCGTCGCCGGCGGAGTCGTTGGTGCGGCCGGCGACTTCTTTGATGAGCTGCGCGCCCGCGTTTTCGACGGGATCGGGGAGCTCGATCGCGCGCGCGATCGTGACACCGTCGTTGATGACCTGGAGAGAAGGAAGAAGGGAAGGAGGGAGGGAGGGTTGGAGGTGAGCGGGCGGCGGTCGGAGGGCGGCGAGGCGAGGCGAGGCGCGGACCGAGGGACGGACGGAACGAAGGAATCGAATCGCCGAAAAGAAGGTTCCTTCCGGACGGCACGAAATTGCCCTAAACCCTCTGTGTGTGCGCGCAATCAATTGTCCGCGATCGACGGGGGCGAAGACGCGCCTGGGGCATGCCCACGGCCTCGGCGAGGACGACGTTGCGGCCTGCGGAAACGACGGAGACGAACGGGGGAGCGGTCAGTTGCTTTTCCGGGGCGACGCGTCGGGTCTGGTCGTCGCCGCGGCGGCGGCGGCGTGGACGGAATGGATCGTCGGATTCGTTCGCTCGACGACGACGCACCTCGGGGGCCGAGCGTGACGGCGACCGCGTCCGCGAGCTTGTCGATCCCGGCTTGGATCTTGATGCGGGATTTCATGTCGAACGTGAGGTCCTTCGCTTCCGCGCGGACCTTGAGCGAGCGGCGGACGCCGGCGACGCGCGTTTGCGCCTTGGGCGTCGTCGTCTTGCCCGCGAGCGCCTGCGGACGGACGGGGGAATTCCACGAGTTGGCGGCGGCTCGGAAGACGACGGATAGAGAAGGTAGATTTCCCGGAAGCGCGCGCGCGCGGAAACGAGCGCGTACCGTGCGCGCGGTGAGCGTAGAGGGAGCCATGACGCCGTGCATCGTGCGACGACGAGTGTTTTGTCGAAATCGACGGCGAGTACCGGTATCGGCGCGTCGCGGAGTGCGCCGCGCGTCGCGCATCGGACGCGCTTTCGACGGTTCGCGAAGCGCTTTTTCGAGAGCGCGAGCGTCGGGCTTTCGAGGCTACGGCGGCCGACCGCGACTGACGCGGCTCCGACACGCGCACTGACTTTCAGACTACTACGACGGACCAACCGCGACCGTCGAACCGCACACCTCCTCCGCGCCCACCGGCCGGCGTCGGGGCGGAGCAGAGACCGCCGCGCGATGGGCGGCAAGGGCAAGGGCGGCGGCGGCGGCAAGGGCGGCAAGGGCGGCAAGGGCGGCGGGAATGGCGGCGGAGGGCGCGGCGGCGGCGGCAACGGAGGATCCGCCTCTCACGGCTCCTCGAAGCGATTCGCCCCGCTGCGCCCGTCGTGGGCGAACCAGCGCCTGTGCTCGTGCACGTCCGAGGCGTGCGAGCGCGCGCACGAGGGCGACGAGGGCGTCGGGGACGACGACGCGTCCTCCACGCGGTTCCCCGTCCCGCTCGCGATGTGGGACCTCGGGCAGTGCGATCCGAAGCGGTGCTCCGGCAGAAAGCTCGCGCGTCTCGGATGCCTGCGCGAGCTCAGGTGCGTTCTATACACTGGTCCCCATACGACCACGTTCGCGTGGTGAACGCCGATCCTTAAGGACTTTTGCCGTCGTCTCTCTCCGCCCACCCCACGCTTTCAATCCCCGACCTCGACGCCTTTCAACGCCAACTGACGCCTTTCAACTCCACCCCGACATTCGCTTGTATGGAACGACCCTCAGGCTCCAGCAGCGCTTCCCGGGGGTCGCGCTGACGCCGTCCGCGACGGACTGCGTGAGCCCGGGGGACTACCACCTCGTCCACAGCGACGGCCTCGCGGTCGTGGACTGCAGCTGGAACCGTCTGGACGACGTTCCGTTCGCGCGGCTGAGGTGCGTTCTATACGCTGGTCCCCGTACGACCCCGTCGGCGTGGTGAACGCCGATCCTTAAGGACTTTGCCCGGCGCATCTCTCCGCCCAGCCCTCGCTTTCAATGCCCGCCCTCGACGCCTTTCAACTTCAACTGACGCCTTTGAACTCCACCCCGACTTCGCTTTGTATGGAACGACCCTGAGGTCGGCGGCGCCGCGGCTCCTCCCGTGGCTCGTCGCGGCCAACCCGGTTAACTACGGCAAGGCGTGCAAGCTGACGTGCGCGGAGGCGCTCGCCGCGGGGCTCTACATCGCGGGGTACGTCGACGCCGCGGAGCTATTGATGAACAAGTTCAAGTGGGGGCACGGGTTCATATCGTTGAACAGGGAGCTGTTGGAGAGTTACGCGCGGTGCGCGACGGGGGAGGAGGTTTTGGAGACGCAGGCGCGGTGGCTGACGAACGGCGGGCCCGCGGCGGGGCCGGGGGTCCGGCCGCCGCGGGACTTTCCGGACGACGACGACGACGATGACGACGATGATGAGGTCGGGAGTGGGAGCGGCGGTGGGAGCGAAAGCGAGAGCGAGAGCGACGACGGGATCCCGCCGCCGCGCGTGAACGCGAACCGAGCCGAGAAGACGATGCCGCCGTCGGACGACGACGAGGAGGAGAGCGAAGAGGAGGAGGAGGAGGAGGAGGAGGAGGAGAAGGAGGACGTCGAAGAAGAACAGGATACGCCGGCGAGGAGTAGTAGCGAGGCGGAAGAGGCCGCGGCGCGGCTCCGGGGGGTGTCGCTCGTTGCCGACGCGTAGGAGGACGTCGCGCGTCGCACGTTGAACGTTGAACGAAAAACCAAACGCCGCCGCCGCCGCCGCCGCCACGCCGCTCAGTCCTCTTCCATCGGCTCCGCGTCGCTCGTCTCCGCGATCGCGCGCGGCACGGGCGTCACCTTGACGTGCGGCGGCGCGTCCTCGTCCTCGTCCGGCGGCGGCGTCGTCTTCTGCGTCTTGCGCGGGCGACCGCGGGGCTTGCCGCCGCCGCCGCCGCCGTCGGCGGCGGCGGCGGCGGGTTCAGGGTCGTTCTATACAAGCGAATGGCGGGGTGGAGTTCAAAGGCGTCAGTTGAAGTTGAAAGGCGCCGAGGACGGGGATTGAAAGCGGGTGGTGGGCGCAGAGAGACGCCGGGAAAAGTCCTAAGGATCGGCGTCCACCACGCGAACGGGGTCGTATGGGAACCAGTGTATAGAACGACCCTCAGTTCGGGCGTTCGGTGTCTCCGCCACCACGTCGCGCCCGCGCCCGCGTCTTTTCCCTCGCCGCCGCCGCCGCCTCCCGCGCCGCCGCCGTTGGTCCTTCGCTTCCGCGGCTTCGACGCGGAGGGCGCGGGGTCGCCGCGCAGCGCGCGGTTGATCTCCGCGAAGTCGTCGTCGATCTCCTCGCGCGTCAGCGTCAGCTGGAACGTCGGGTGGTTGGCCCCGGCGCGTCGCGGCGGCTTGAGCGACGTCTCCTGCGGCGCCCAGAAGTACGACGGGCGCTGCTTCGGCGCGGTGGGCTCGCCGCGGTCCCACTTCGTGAGCTCGTGGCGGAGGAACCCGGGGGTGATGCGTATCGCCTCGGGGTCGTCGGCGGTGACCGGGTGGGACATCGCGTGGCGCGTGCGGCGTGGGGGGGACGGGGTGCGCGGAGGGAGCTGAGAGCCCGGCGCGCGAGGAAGAGTCGTTGTCGTCTTCAGAAACCAGCCAAACGCTGAAAGGCAGAAACTGCGATTTGAAACCGCCACGTTGAAAGGGGAGAAGACCATTTTTGATCGGAGAAAGACTTTGACTTTATAGTTTCTACTTTCCGAGTCCCGGTCAAATTATCACGTCCGCGTAGCTCAGAGGATAGAGCGCTTGACTTCTAATCACGCACTGAGTCAGACATCAAGCGGCCGCGGGTTCGATCCCCGTCGTGGACAACCTTTTTGCAGTTTTACGCGCGTCCTCACCTTCTACTTCCGTACATGATGTCCAAATGATGAGAAGCACCAGATCCACGAGCTTTCAGGTCGATCGAAGCGCTTACAGTATGTGGCTGAGGCGGTCGCGTCGTCGTCGAGCGACGACTGTTTCGGCAAAAAAAAACGGCGGCGCGGGAAACAGACTGACGGCGCCGGGGAGGAACGACAGACGTCGAAGTCGTTGAATTCATTCACATAACAAACTTACCTAGTGTACAACCCACGGCGGCGTGGCGTGGGCGTGGCGTCGCCCCCCTCCGCGCGCGCGACCCCTTTTGTCTGTCATCCGTCGCTCTCGTCATCTCCAAAATTATACGAAAAAAATCATCCCCCCACTCCCGCCGTCTCACCCGGTGTTCTGCATCCCCGCGGCGATCCCCTTCATCGTGATGATGAGCGTGTCGCTCACGGTCGCGTGGTACCAGTTATTCTTCCCGTGCAGCGACAGCATCTCCTTGCTCCACGGCATCGACGGCGCGTATTTCGCCATGAACTCCTCGGATACCTCCCCGCTTTCGATCGCGCGAAGACGCTTCAAATTCTCAACCTGGATGATGTTCAAAGGCGTGATGTACGTCGAACGCATCGATAGCTTCTCCGCGAGGAACGTGGACGAGCTCTGCCCTTTGCTGTCGCTCTGCGGCGTGAGGAGGTCCGGGTGCTCGGTGATCTCGAGGACGATCTTCACCGTGTTCACGAGCTGCTGGCGCAGCGTCGCGCCGAACGCGTGCAACCCGGGCTCGACGAGCACCTTTTCGTAGTACTCGGCGACGTTGAAATCCGCCTTGGCCAAGACCATCTCGATGAGATCCATCGTCACGCGGAAGAACGGCCAGTCCTTGTACATCGCGCGCAGCATCGGGAGCTTGCCGTCGTCCTTCAGCTTCTGGAACCCCTCCGCCATGCCGAGCCAGACGGGGAGGTGGAACCGCGACTGCGTCCACGCGAAGATCCACGGAATGGCGCGCAGCGCCGTCACCGTGGGGTTCGCCTTTCGCTTCGCCGGGCGGCTGCCGATGTTCAGCGACCCGAGCTCCTGCGCGGGCGTCGCCTGCGCGAAATACCGAATGAACTCCGGGGTCTCGAAGACAACCTTGCGGTACTTCTCGCACGACTCCTCGGACATGACGTTCATGACGTCACGCCACTCCGTCTGCGGCGACGTCGGCGGCTTCAGCGAGTGCTCCAACGTCGCCGCCGTGTACAAATCCAACGTGTGGAAGCAGTTCTCGTGCTCGCCAAAGTTCTGCTCGATCACCTCGCCCTGCACGGTGACGCGCAGACGCCCGTTGATCGTCGCGGGGGGCTGGGACATGATCGCGAGGTGCGACGGCCCGCCGCCGCGGCCGACGGTGCCGCCGCGCCCGTGGAACAACGTCAGCTTGACGCCAAACTCGTTCCCGACGTGCGTCGCGTTCTCCTGCCCCTCGTACAGCGCCCACGCGGCGGCCATCCTTCCGGCGTCCTTACCGGAGTCGGAGTACCCGATCATCACCTCCTGGAACCCGTCGATGTGCTTGTGGTACCACGGCACGGAGAATAAGCGGCGGAGCTGCGCCGGGCCGTCGCGCAAGTCGTCGAGACGCTCGAAGAGCGGCGCGACGCGGAGTAAGCGGTCCTCGTGCCCGCCGCACTCGCGCTGCAGCAAGACGACCGCGAGGACGTCGGACGCGACCGTCGCCATGGAGATGACGTACGTCCCCAACGACCCGGGGCAGACCCTCTGGAGGTGCCCGGCCATGTGGAAGGTGTCGATGACCTCTTGCACCTCCGCGGTGCACTCGAGGTCGCGAGGGACGAGCGGACGCTTCCCTTCGAGCTCGGCGACGAGGAACGCGCACTTCTTCTCTTCATCCCACTCGTTGTACGAGCCCAAGCCGATGTGCTTCGTGATGGCGTCCATCGCGTCCGCGTGGCGGTCGCTCTCTTGGCGGATATCGAGCCGCACGAGCGACAGACCGAAGCAGTTGACCTGGCGGATCAGGTCGAGCAGGTACCCGTCCGCGACGGACTTATCCCCGACGTCGATCAGGGAGTTGTAGCACGCGAGGAGAGGCTCCAGGAGCTGCTCCTTGCTCGTGAAGATGCTGGCGTCGTCCGGGTTGAGCGCGTCGACGCGGCCGGCGATGACGTCCTTGATGGCCTCCTTGGTGTTGTACAGCCGGTCTCGCACCTCCGAGAGCACGACGCGATACGGCTGGGACAGCGGCAACGCGTGCCAGAAATCGACGTAGTTCCTGCGCTTCCGCTCCGCGTACAGCGCTCCGTCGTCCTGCTGCGACAGCACGAACGCGTGCCTCGCGGCCGCGCGCGCTTTGAACGACTCGGAGCACCTCCACATGGAGAGCGAGAAGATCAAGTTTTGAATAGCGTCAAAGTATAAATCCGCCGCTTTGCTTCGCGCGAGGTACACCGCGTCTTTCGTGCAGTGCGAGTCCACGTTCGGGTTGCCGTCGCGGTCGCCGCCCATCCACGACGAAAACTTCATGATGCTCTTGTCCAGCGGAATCCTCGGTAAGCCTTGGTTGATCAGCGCGGTGTCGATGCGACGCACGAATTTGGGGAGGCCCTCGAAGAGGGTGTCGTTGAAGTAGGACAGCCCCGCGCGCATCTCGTCTTGCGGCTTGGGCGGGTTGCGTCGGATCTCGTCCGTCCTCCACGCCGCCTGGATCGCGCTGGACATGGACGCGAGGATCTCCGCGCGCTCGTACCCGGAGAGACGGCGCGCTTGAAGGTCGAGCAGGCACTGGCGGATCCGCGCGAAATTTTTGAGCATCGATCGTCGAAGCGCCTGCGTCGGATGCGCGGTGAACACGAGATCCACCTCCTGCTCCGCGAGCGCCTCGTAGATGGTTTCCTTGCTCACCCCGTTCGCGATCAACCCTTTGATCGCGCCGTTCGTCGTCTTCGCGGGCCCGCGCGGGATGTCGTCGAGACGCGCGTGCCGCTCCTCCATCGCCGCCGCGACGTGCTCGCTCACGTTGTGCAGGTTGAGGACGTTGCTGAAGGCGCTCGCGAGCATGACGGTCTCCTCGTCGCTGAGGGAACCGAGCTTCGTGGTCAGCGCGGCGAAGTCGGCCGGGTCGTTGCTCTTGTGGAACTGCTCGCTGAGCGCGTAGACGGCCTCGAGGGAGTCGTCGAACTCCGTCCCCGTGGTCTCGCGGACGATGCTGAAGAAGAGCGCGCGCATGAGGTCCTCGGACTCCTGCAGCACCTCGTGATGATCGAAATCGTGCGTCTCGCCGCTGCCGCTGAGGTAGTGCGAGTCCGCGACGAGCTCCTTGAACTTCGCATCCTTGAGGAGGTTCATGGCCGTCGGCATCGTGCTCGGCTCGCGGTGCCGGGGTCGATCGCTCGCGGTGCGCGCTCTCCGACACGACGCGCGGACGCGCGCGCGAATGGAATAAAGCGCGAAGCGACGCCGCCGCACTTTTGTCCTGTTTTAGCAGTGTTTTATTTTAGCGCGTGGAAATATCTCGACAAAGCCCGCGAATCGTTTGATCGGCTCCCTGGGGTCGAATTCCACCGGAGTGCGCGGGTCAAGAGAAAGTTTGAAACCCAAACACCCTGGGCACCCCGCGATCAACCAGCCCTCAGCCTCATCATCAGCGGCAAGACCACACTCAGCTCGCCGCCAGCCGCTGTGATAAAAAGCCTGTAAAAAGCCCTGAACCCTCGGGAGCGGCGATCGCGCGTCGTCACACCAGACTCGCGCGAGCACGCAACCGGAGCCTCTACGATGGCGAGCATCGCCGCGTCGGCGATCCCCTCACGCGTCTCGTTCCTTCCCTCGCGCGCGTCGTCGTCGTCGTCGTCTTCGTCGTCTTCGTCTTCGTCTTCGTCGTCGTTCGGACGGCGTCGCGTCTTCAAGAGAAGAACCTCCTCCTCCTCCTCCTCCTCCTCCTCCTCCTCCTCGCTCCGCGTCGTCGCCATGGCCGCGGAGAAGAAGAAGCTCTGGGGCGGACGCTTCAGCGAGGACATCGACCCGCTCATGGAGAAGTTCAACGAGTCGCTGTCGTTCGATCGAAGGATGGCGCAGGAGGACGTCCGCGGGAGCATGGGCTACGCCCGAGCGCTCGCGAAGACGGGCATCATCACGGACGCGGAGCGCGACGCGCTCGTCGACGGCCTCGACCTCGTCGCGAAAGAGTGGGCCGCCGACGCGTTCGAAGTCGTTAGCGGCGACGAGGACATCCACACCGCGAACGAGCGACGCCTCGGCGAGCTCATCGGCCCGGTCGCGGGCAAGCTGCACACGGGGCGGTCGCGGAACGATCAGGTACGTTCTATACACTGGTCCCCATACGACCGCGTCGGCGTGGTGAACGCCGATCCTTAAGGACTTTTCCCGGCGTGTCTCTCCGCCCAGGGTCCCTCGCTTTTAATCCCGACACACCTCGGCGCCTTTCAACTCCATCTGACGCCTTTCAACTCCACCCCGGCAATCGCTCGTATGGAACGACCCTCAGGTGGCGACGGACACGCGAATGTGGTTGCGCGCTCAACTCCTCGTCCTCCGCGGATACCTCCGGCAGCTCATCGCCGTCGCGATCGAGCGCGCGGAGAGCGAGGTGGACGTCGTCATGCCTGGGTTCACGCACTTGCAGTCCGCGCAGACGGTGCGGTGGAGCCACTGGTTGTTATCGCACGCCGCGGCGTGGCAGCGCGACGACATGAGAATCGCGGACCTCCTCCCTCGCGTCAACACGCTCCCTCTCGGTAGCGGCGCGCTGGCGGGTAACCCGTTCGGGGTGGACCGGCGAGCGCTCGCGGTGGACTTGGGGTTCGAGCGCGTGTGCCCGAACAGCATGGACGCGGTGAGCGATCGCGATTACGTCGCGGAGACGATGTTCTGGGCGTCCACGACGATGATTCATCTCTCGCGGTGGAGCGAAGATCTGATCATCTACAGCAGCGGTCAGTTTGGCATGGTCAAGCTCAGCGACGCGTACAGCACCGGGTCGTCGCTCATGCCGCAGAAGAAGAACCCGGACGCGCTCGAGCTCCTGCGCGGGAAGTCTGGGCGGCTGTTGGGGACGCTGACCGGGTTCATGGCCGTCATGAAGGGGACGCCGACGACGTATAACAAAGATTTTCAAGAGGCGTGGGAAGGTTTGTTCGACACCGTGGACACGATGTCCGACTGTCTGCAGATCGCGACCGGCTGCCTCGCGACGCTGAAGATCGACCCGGCGGCGATGGAGCGCGGGCTCAGCGCGGACATGCTCGCGACGGACCTCGCGGAGTATTTAGTCAGGAAGGGCGTGCCGTTTCGCGAGACGCATCACATCTCCGGCGCCGCGGTGAAGCTCGCGGAGGACCGCGGGTGCGCTTTGTCCGACCTCACCGTCGGAGATTTAAAGCCTCTTTGCGACGCGTTCGAGGAGGACGTCGTCGGCGTGTGGTCGTACGAAAAGAGCGCGGAGAGTCGGGACACCGAGGGCGGGAGCTCGCGTCGGAGCGTGCTCGAGCAGTGCGAAAAGTTGAGGCGGTACCTCAGAGACACCGAGGGCGACGTCGACGAGGCGCGATACGACGGCGGCGCGGCGAGCGCGGCGGCGGGCGTGAGCACGAGCGGCGGCGAGGACGCGGGCGCGCTCGACGCCGCGTTCGACGAGTTCTGCGAGGACGACCCGAGCGCGGACGAGTGCAAGGTGTTCGACTGATTGATGACGAGCGGAGGAGGGAGGGAGGCGCGCCAGCCGTTGATCAGAATGTAATTTATTCGACGCGACGAAACTTGACGTCATTCTGTTCCTCTCGAGCGCGCACTCGTCGCGACGCGTCGCCTCCCACCGCGGCGTCGGCGTCGGCGTCTCGCGCGCTTCCGCGCCGCCGACGACGCGATGCGGCCGCGCGCATCTCGCGCGATGCCGTCGTTATCGCGCGTCGTCCCCGTCCTTCTCCTCCTCCTCCTCCTCCTCCACGCGTGTCTCCTCGGCGTCCTCGTCGCGCCCGCGGACGCGAAAATGATCGAGCTCAAGACCTCCGCGGGCGCGACCGTGCACGCCGTGCAGCTGGACGTCCCCGCGTTCGCGGTCGCGGACGAGCTCGAAGACGCGTACGTGATCGCGATGAGCGCGAAGCGCAAAGGTGCGCGCGTCCTCGGCGTCGTCGCGTCGCGTCGTCCTCGTCGTCCGCGCCCAGATCCATCGCGTCGCGCGCGTCCACCCTCCCGTCGTCGTCGTCTTCGCTGACGTCCGTCTCTTCGCTCCCGTCCTCTCTCCCGTCCGCTCGCGCAGCCGAGCCGCTGTCCGAGGACGAGAGAGCGAAGGTGAGGAACGCGGAGGCGGTGATCACGACCGATCACCGCGGGATCCGGTACTTTTGCACGCTGCCGAGGTCGGCGGCCGGGGCGGCAGCCGGCGCCGGCGCCGACGCCGGCGAAGAAGCGCGCGCGGGGTCCTCGTCGTCGATCGGCGAGCTCCTCGACGATTTAAAGAACCAATGCTTCTATCGCATCGAGGGCTGGTGGACGTACGAGTTCTGTCACGGGAAAGGCATCCGGCAGTATCATCAGGACGACAATCAGGTCGTCACCGCGACGTTTTCGCTCGGCGCTTTCGACGCCGCCGCCACGCGCGCGGCGCACGACGCGCGCGGCGAAGTCGCGGCGGCGACGTCCGCGGGGTCCGGCGGAGAGGCCACCGCGCCGTACCACGCGCACGTGTTCACCGGCGGGACGCCGTGCGATCTGACGGACTTGGAGCGAGAGACGGAGGTCAGGTTCACGTGCGCGCGGCAGAGCGCGGGAGGGGGAGTCGGCGTTGAAAGCGGCGACGCGGAGAGAGAAAAACTAAACGCCGCCGACGCGAACGTCAACGCGATCGAGAGGATCGACGAGGCGTCGACGTGTCGCTACACGATGACGTTCACGACGCCGTCGCTGTGCGCGCACGACGCGTTCCGGACGAAAGAGCAGGTCGTGCGCGACATCGTGTGCAGGCGGTTCGACGCGGAGGGCGGGGAGGAGGAGGAGGAGGCGCGCGGCGGATCAGGCGGGAGCGGCGGCGACGGCTTCGAGGAAGACGCCGAGGCGGTGTTTTCGCGACGGGGCGCCGACGGCGAGCTGTAGCGCGGCGACGTCGTCGTCGCGTCTGTGGTCGGCGAACGAGCCGACCTTCTTCCGTGGTGGCGATCGTACGTGCGTACCTAAATTAAATGATGAAAGTGCTGCATGCTGCGCCGTCGCGCGTCCGACGCGCGAGGACGCCCCGTCCGAATCGGGATACTTTTCGTTCGTGCCAGCTGTGACGCGATCAACGCCGCGATCGCGGCGGGGGAACCCCCAGGGCGCCCCCCACGGTCATCGCCTCCACCGCGCCGAGATCGACGAGCCCGTCGAAGTTCACCGACGCCTCGACCGCGCCCGCGCCCGAGCCGCCGCCGCCGCCTCCGACGCCGATCGTCGCGAGCGACGCCGCCGCGCCCGCCGCCGCCGCCGCCGCGACGGTCCCGGTCCCAGTCTTCTTCTCGCGCTTCTTCCGCGTCGACTTCTCCGGGAGTCCGAGCTCCTTCCTCCGCGCGATGATCGCCCTGCCCGCCTCCTCCTCGTCGTCGTAGTACCCCACCTTGTGCTCCTTCCCTTTCTTCCCGTCCTTCGTCGGCTCGTACACGCGCGCGAGCCACCGCTTGCAGTGCTTGTCCCAGTTCACGCCGTTGATGGCCGATCGCTTCGGCTGCGCGTGCGCGCGACAATTCACGAACCCGGGGGGAAGGCCAAACTCTCTCGCCCGCCGCACCGTCTCCTCGCTCTCCTCCTTCGTCGTGAAGTACCCCAGGTTGACCTGCTTCTTGTTCACGTACACGATCGCGCGCCACTTCCCGGAGGCTTTGTGATGACACACGCCGTTCTTGTTGTAGCGCCCGTTCGGGGGATCGATCGCGATGTTGATCACCCCCGGCGGGGGTTCGCCGAACTGGATTCGCTTCGGCTTGCTGTTGCGCTTCTTCTTCACGCCGTCGACGCTGATCATCGGCGTGCCCTGCTCCGGCGTCGGGATCACCCCGGGGGTGGGCGCGGGAGAGTCCGTCGGCGTGTCGTCGTCTTCGTTGGTGGGATGGCCGCTCGTCTCGCGCGCGCGCTTGCGCCCGCCGAGAACCGCGCGCGCGCGATCGTCCAAAAAGACACCATCGTCCGGCGCCTCCCCGCGGATCGAGGCGTCGCGCGCGTTCGCGACGTGATCGCCGCCCGGAGCCATTCTTCACGCGCGCCGCGAGCGACTAAGTTCGCGACAACGCGTGGATCAACGAAACGCGCGGGAAGCACCCGGACGTTCGTGCGTTCTGCGCGCGTGTCGAGGCGTGCGAAGCGCGTCCTCGACTGGTCAATTCCGCGCGGAGCGCCGGTGCTCCGTCTTCTCCCAGACGTCTTCGCTCGGGCGGCCCTTGCCTTGGCGGGAAGGGTTCGCACGCGTGTACGTGTACAACTTTTGTACTGTACGTATAGGCAAACAGTCAGTCGGAAAAAAATTACCCCGCTCGCGCGTTACGACAGGTTACGGGCGCGTAAAAACTCGCGCGCGTTCCGACGGCGCGCACTGCGCGCGGCCGCGAGGGACGCCCGCCGACCGACGGCGGCGCTAACGTCTCTCGCGGGATGAGCTCGCGAGGCGACGACGCCTCGCGCGCGACGGCGACGCGCGCCGCGTCGTCGCTCGCGTCCGCGCGCGCGCGCGACGACGCGCCGCGCGTCGCCCGATCACCGCGCGCGACGGGCCGACACGCCGCGACGACCGGACTCGCCGCGTTGGCGCGAGGCGCGATCGAGGACCCGCGCGACCCCGCGCGCGGTGGCGACGGCAGCGCCCCGGGGACGCCGCCGGACGACGAGTGCGCGGAGACGCGGCGATGGCGCTCGCGCCATCGCGGCGCGCCCGCGATCGTCGCGTCTGCCACGTCTTCCAGCGCGCGCGCGACGGCGAGATCTGGACCAGCGCGCGAGCCGCCGCCGCGCGCGACGGCGACGCCGACGGCGACGGCGACGCCGACGGCGACGGCGACGCCGACGCCCCCCGCGGCGTCGCACCCGCGGCACGAACACGAGACGTTGTCCGTCGGCTCCCCGATCGGCCTGCGCTCGGAGACGCACGTCACCGCGTCGTGCGAGGCGCGCGACGACGTCTCGAACGCGAGGGATCATCATCATCAGGCGCGTTCTGTACACTGGTCCCCATACGACCCCGTTCGCGTGGTGAACGCCGTTCCTTAAGGACTTTACTTCCCGGCGCATCTCTCCGACCACCCCTCGGTTTCAATCCCCGCCCGCGATGCCTTTCAACTCCACCTCTGACGCCTTTGAACTCCACCCCGACGTTCGCTCGTATAGAACGGCCCTCGTCATCGCGTTCAAGCGTCGCCGTCGTCGTCGCCGTCGTCCTCGCGCGGCTTCGTGATCCCGCCCTCGCGCGCCGCCGCCGACGAGAAGAAGTCAAAGTCGAAGTCGAAGTCGATCTCGTCGTCGACGCGCGATGACGAGGACGGGCGCGACGCCGCGCGGTCCATCGCCGCGGACCGCGCCGCGTCGCTCGCCGCCGCCGCCGTCGCGTCGGCGTCGCTCGCGGAGGCGCGACTCGACCCGAACGCCGCGGAATCCAACCGCCTGACGCGCGTCGCGGAGGCGCTCATCGCGGGCGGGCGGCCAGCGGACGCGCTCCTCGTCCTCCATCGCGCGCTCGCGCTGACGCCGCGGTGCCTGGACGCGATCGCGAAGAAGGGGATGTGTCACCAAGCGTTGGGGTCGCATCAAGACGCGTACGACGCGTACGCCGCGGTGCTCGCGGTGGAGCCGACGCACGCGCTGGCGTTGCGCGCGGTCGGCGCGCTGTATCAAGCCCACGGGTTCCTCTCCGAGGCTGCGGGCGCGTTTAAGAGCGCGCTGCGGTCGGACCCTGCGGACCGGCCGACGATCGAGCGGCTGGCGGCGACGCTCACGGATCTGGGGACGCGGACGAAGCTCCTGGGGTCGCCGAACGCCGCGATCGAGTACTACAGAGAAGCGAGCGCCGTGGACGGCGGGTACGCGCCTGCGTTTTATAACCTCGGCGTGGTGTTATCGGAGACGAACCGGCACGCGGAGGCCATGGCGTGCTACGAACTCGCGATCAAGTTGAACGCTAACGACGCGGATTCGCACTGCAACTTGGGTGCGTTCTATACAAAAGTTTTTCACCCATCGTTCGGTTTCAACATTTGATCGCGTCCCCTTTCAACTGACCGGTGAACTTTTTTTGTATGGAATGGCCCTTAGGCGTGTTGAGGAAGCTCGCCGGCGACGTCGTCGGCGCCATCGACGCGTACGAACAGTGCTTACGCGTCAACCCGAACCACGCGCTCGGTCGCGGGAACATCTCGATCGCGCTCAGCGAACACGCGACCGCGGTGAAAGCGTCCGGGGACGTGCATCTCGCGATCAGAGGCTACGAGCGCGCGTTGACGTTTGACCCGAACGCGGCGGAGGCGACGTATAATCTCGGCGTCGCGCAGGCGGAGGTGGGCGAGATCGACCGCGCGATCATCGCGTACGAGCACACGCTGCGGTTGAAACCCAACTGCGCGGAGGCGTGGAATAATCTCGGGGTGTTACACCGCGAACGCAACAACGTCGAGCGGGCCGTGGAGTGTTACAACCGAGCGATCGCGATCGCGCCGGCGTTCGCGCAGCCGTTGAACAACGTCGGGGTCGTGTACACGACGCAGGGGAACGCGGGCGCGGCGCTGGAGGCGCTGCAGCGCGCGATCGCCGCGGATCCGTCGTACGCGGTCGCGCACAACAACCTCGGGGTGTTACTCCGAGACACCGGGGACGTCCCGGAGGCGTTGGCGTCGTACGCGGAGTGCGAGCGGTGCTCGCCGGATCATCGAAACGCGACGCAGAATTATCTGCTGTCGCTGAATTACGTCCACCCGGGGGAGAGCGCGGTGGTGTCGGACGCGCACGCGCGGTGGGGCGCGCGGTTCCAGGAGATCGCCGGCGAGGCGCTCCCGCGGCGACGGTTCGCGCGATCGGATCTCGGCGCGGGAAGGGAGCGCGTCGGGGGAGCGCTGCGACGGCGTCGCGAAAATTCGGACGCGCGAGGGGCGCGGTTCATAGGCCTGACGCGCCGCGACGCCGACTCGGACTCGGACGCCGACGCCGATTCGGACTCCGACGCCGACTACTCCGACGACGTCGACGACGCGGACGACGCGGAGGCGCGAGACGCCCTCCTCTCTGGGCGAGCCCTCTCTCCGCGCCGCCGCCTCGTCGTCGGCTACGTCTCCTCCGACCTCTACACGCACAGCGTGTCCTACTTCGCGTTCGCGCCGTTCCGCGACCACGACCCGTCGAGAGTCGAGCTCTTCGTCTACTCGACGACGCCGCGCGAAGACGCGCAGTCGACGCGGTTGCGCGACGCCGTCGCCGCCGCGCGCGGGACCTGGCGCGACTGCGCGGCGATGTCCGAGAGCGAACTCGCGGAGACGATCCGGGGCGATCGCGTGGACGTCCTCGTGGAGCTCACCGGACACACGGCGAACAACAAGCTCGGGACGATGGCGCTGCGACCGGCGCCGGTGCAGGCGACGTGGATCGGGTACCCCAACTCCACGGGGTTGACGTCCATCGACTACCGCCTCACGGACGCCATCTGCGATCCGCTGGACACGACGCAGAGCTTCGTGGAGAAGCTCGTGCGGTTGCCCGGGTGTTTCTTATCGTACACCCCGAGCGCGGAGGCGCCGCCGGTCGCGCCCGCGCCGTGCATGACCGCCGGCTTCGTCACCTTTGGCTGCTTCAACGCGCTCGCCAAGGTCACGCCGCGCGTCCGCAAAGTCTGGGGCCGGCTCCTCGCCGCGGTGCCAAACTCGCGGCTCGTCGTGAAAGCCAAGCCGTTCCTGTGCCCGACGATTCGCGCGCGCTTCCTGACGCAGATGCTCTCCGAGGGCGTGGAGTCGTGGCGGATCGACTTATCCCCGCTGACGAACGGCACGACGCACCACCTCTCGATGTACGGCATGATGGACGTCGCGCTGGACACGTTTCCTTACGCGGGGACGACGACGACGTGCGAGGCGATGTGGATGGGCGTCCCGGTGCTGACGATGATTGGCGGGTGCCACGCGCACAACGTCGGCGCGAGCCTCGTGGAGGCGGTGGGCTTATCGGAGGAGTGCGCGACGCGGACGGAGGATGAGTACGTCGCGAAGGGGACGGCGTTGGCGAGCGATTTCGAGAGGTTGGCGGCGACGCGCGCGGGGTTGAGACGGCGGATGCGCGACGGGCCGATGTGCGACGGGAGGGCGTTCATGGGGAGGGTGGAGGACGCGTACGTCGAGATGTTCGAGAAGTGGTGCGGCGAAAACAGGGCGGACGCGGAGGAGGAGGAGGAGGGTCGGGCGGCGGCGGCGGCGGCGGCGGGCGGCGTCGGCGGCGGCGTCGGCGGCGGCGGCGGCGCGAACGGCGCGGCGGCGACGACGAGGAAGGCGGAAGGAAAGGACGAGAACGAGACGTCGTCGTGCTCGAGCCAGGACACGGTGCGCGACGAGGACCCCGCGCGATCGGGCGGCGACTGAGCGGTCGCCGCCCGAGCGGGGTGCTCGAGAACGGAGGGACGGGAGTTCCAAAATCGAACCCCGAGACTTCGCGATGATTTCTTTTACGAGTATAGCATACGAAAGAACGAAAGGATTCAGGATTCATCACGCGTCTCATAGATCTACAACGTACAGTACGTGTGAGACACAGCCTCATCGACGACCGCCCTCACGCGAGCAACGGCGCGGGCTTCCGTCGTCGTCCCCAGCCCCGCTCGGGGACGTCGACGTCGGAATCGCGTCCGCCCCCGCCCCCGCCCCCGCCGCGCCCGCCGCCGCGGGCTGAATGATCGCCGCCGGCGCGTTCACCGCCAGCGCTTCCTCGCTCGGCCCCGCCATCTCCTGCCCTCTCTTCACCAACGAATCCCGCGTCCGGTCGACCATCGCGGCCGCGGCGGTGAACCCGCCGACGAGCGAGTTCCACCCTTTCGCGCCGACGTCGAGGGTCTTGGCGACGGTCGGGTTCTCTCTGAGGGCCGTTCCATACAAAAAATGTTCATCGGTCAGTTGAAAGGAGACGCGATCAAATGTTGAAACCGAGCTATGGGTGAAAAACTTTTGTATAGAACGCACCTGATCCCCGCGGTCTTCTCCCAGACGTCGTGCATCGTCTTAGACACGACCTGCTCACCGGTCGTGACGCCCTTGATGACCGCGCCGCTGACCCCGAGCCGAGCGTCGAGCGACTCGATCGACCTCGCGGTCGACCGCGCGTGCCGCGCGAGCTTCTCCTCCAGCGACTCCTTCGAGATCCCGTGCGCGTGCGTCTCCATCACCGGGAACAGCGTCGACGTGCAGTGCTCGCCGATCGTCGCCTCCACCGCGGCGGCGATCGTCTCCACGTCCGCGCCCTGCCACAGCGAGAATATCCTCTGCCCCGCGGGCTCCGCGCTGATGTCTTTGCACGGCATCACTTGGAGGACGGCGACGCCGTGCGGGAGATCGCCCTGCTTGATCGCGCCCACGAGGAGCATCACGGGGAGCGGGACCGTGCTCGTGACGACGTCGACGACGGACATGACGTTGACCATGACGCGGTCGTCCTTGAAGACGGCGATCTCGGGGGCTTCGCTGCGCGTGTGCGCCATTTCGAAGATGAGAGCGTGACGCGCGTGCGTGCGCGTGCGCGCGGTCGAACGAGGCCGCGCGCCGCGCGTTCCCCTCTTTACTACTGTATATGTTCGCGCGCGAAATGCGCCAACTGTCGGAAAGCCTGCGGCAATTTTGAACGCGAGAAGACGCGATGAATCGCTCGCTATCAAATGTTTCGCGCTTTGAAAATGTCCTTTTAAAGTTTATCATTGAAAGGTGTTGCCGACACCAGCAAAACTGACCCGCGAGGAGCCGATGCACGAGAAAACCCGCGACGGACGCGCGTCGCGTCCCTCTCTAAGAAGCGCAAACACGCGTCTAGGTTGCTAGTTCACCGACGCTTAAACATCACGATGGCTCCCGCTACCAAGGCCGCGAAGAAGAAGCTCTCGACGTTCGTCGTCGACTGCTCCAAGCCGGTGCGTAATCGTCCGTCTCCGGGCGGAGGATGACGCGCGCGCGGAAAAAACCCTAAGCCGCCGCGGCGAGGCGCCATCGCGCGCCGGAGACGCCGCGCCGTCGCGCCCGTCGGTCGTCGCGTCCTCCCTGGCGCGCGTCCCGAGCGGCGTCGCGACGTCGTGCGCGCGGTCGCGGTCGCGGACGCGGCGTCGCTCGCTCGACGGCGTGGCGTCGACGGCGTCGCGTCCGCGCGTCGGCTCGGCCGACGTCCGCGGGGGTTTTCTTTTCGCTTTTCTTTTCGCTTCTCGCGAGCGAGGGGGCGACGCCTCCGCCCAGTCCGTCTCCTTCGCTCGGGACGCGCGCGCGGTCTCGGTCTCGCCGCCCTCCGCCGACCCGCCCCGCCCCGACGACGACGACCGCGCGCTGACGTCCCGACCCCGTTCGACGCCCCGTTCGTACCAATGCGCAGGTTGAAGACAAGATCATGGAGATCGCGTCGTTCGAGACGTTTCTCGCCGAGCGCATCAAGGTCGGCGGCAAAGCCGGCGCGCTCGGCGACGCCGTCACCGTGTCCCACGACAAGACGCGCGTGACCGTCACCTCCGAGGCGCCGATGTCCAAGCGCTACCTCAAGTACCTCACGAAGAAGTACCTGAAGAAGCACAACGTTCGCGACTGGCTTCGCGTCATCGCGTCGGGCAAGGACAGGAACGTGTACGAGCTGAGGTACTTCAACATCGCGGACCAGGAAGACGACGACGAGTAATTCTAATTCGCTCGTTGGAGTCGGCTTCGTGGTGGTGGTGGTTCACTCGAGCGGGGGATGAAGCTTCCTATTTAGTAGCGTTCGTGATTAGCGTTTAATAGAGACGGAAGCGTCCCCCGGTTGGGCGGAGTCATTCATGAATTTCAATTCGCTAAAACTTGGCGGCGATGGCCTGCCCTCTCTCTTGGAACCACCCCTGGATCGCCTTGTTCTTCATGAACTTTTCGTGGACGACGACCGCGGCGAGGAGCACGATCGCGAGGTACGCGGGGAAAAACTCCGGGTACTTCGTGAACACCGTGCCCCACAGCTTGGACGCGACGGCTCTCTTGTAAAAAATCTGACCGATGGGCCCGTGCAGGATGTAAATCGGAAACGAAATCGCGCCCAAATACGTCAGCCACTTGTGCGACATCATCGTGCTGAAGCTCTTGTGCCCCTCCTTCGCCGCGTTCGGGAGGTCGACGTACACGGTCTGGACGTGGATCCGTTTGATGAAGGACACGAACAGAGGGATGAAAAACAAACCGCGCGTGAGCCCGTCGTTGAGCGTCAGCCACTCGAACCCGCGAGCGATCAACACGAACGCCATCCCGAGGAGCGGCACCACCGGCGAGCTCGCCATCCAGCCGCTCGCGTTGTTCGTATCCGTATCCGTAACCGTCGACGATTCGCCGTTTTCGTTAACGCCTTTCTCCTCGCCCTTGTCCGCGCACTCGCGGACCATGACGCTGCGCGCGGCGACGCACCCGATCAAAATTTCGACGAGCGCCGCGAACGGCGAAAACCGCTGCGCGTTCCAAAACAACCACGACGGGTGCGTCTTCGGGGACATGACGCCCTCCATGAAGAACCACCCGCCGGTGTCGTACGAGTACGCGACTTTCGCGATCAAGCTGATCGCGGTGAGCGCGATCATCGCGGTCTTCAAACCCTTCTTCTTCCACGACGCGATGGACGGGAGACAAAAAGGCAACGCGACGGTGGCGAAGGTCAACGCGCTGAGAAACCACGTCGGGGCGTTCCACAGCTCCGCGTGCGCGGGGAACCACGCTTGGGTCAACGTCATGGTGATTAAACCATGGAAAACGGTCGCAATCGGACCGTTATATAAGTTATCCGCGTACACGAACACCCACCCGAAGACGACCTGCGCGAGGAGGTACAGCGGGTAGTAGCCCATGACGCGCGACAGAATAAACGCCGGCGCCGGCGATATCCGCGGCGACGCCCTGTACTCGCCCAGCTCCGTGCACGTGTACGCGACGACGTACCCGGAGATCACGAAGAACGCGCCGACGACGACGTTGACTTGCGATAACATCCGGAGCGTGAGCGGGTCTTTCGTGCAGCACGCGATGAAGTGGCCGACGGCGATGTAGGTGATGAGAAAAAATCGCGTCGAGTCGAGCGCGGGGATGAACGCGCGCTTCTTCTTCGCGGGCGGCGACGGCGACGGCGACGGCGACGGCGGCTCGATCGCCGCGGCGTCGTCGTTCGGCGACGCCGCGGAGGAGGACGATACCCTGTCCGCGGTGGACGCCAATCGGTGGAGCGCGCCGTCGCGACGCGGACGCGCGCGCGCGCGGAGACGCGCCGGCGAACGCGGAGCGCCCGACGCGCGATCGACAGCGACGCGCGCTCGGGAGACGGGGGGTCGACGGACCGCGCGATCGGATCGCGCGGGGATCCACACGATCGGGTCCTTCTCCCCGGCGCGCGCGCGCGTCGACGCGCGAGGCGTCGGCCTCGCCATCGCGCCCGCGATGGCCATCATGACGACGACGTGTCGCGCGTGCGGCGCGCGCGCGAGAGTGATGCGGGCCGTTTACGTTGTTACCGGACGTCGTTGGCGTTTTCGAGGAGGCACGCACAGGGCGGGGAGGCGGCAAGACGCCGCCCTTCAGCGCGCGTATGATAAACGACTACCTGTACATCGAACACATCGCGACGAGATTGCCTACCCACCGCACACGCCGCCCGAGAGAGACTTCGCGCGAAAGTGCGAATCCGCGATCGCCTTCACGCCCCCCGCCGTCTCCAAGGACTCCAACCACCGCGTCCCGCCGCTCTCGAGCTGCTCTCGGACGGCGCTCCGGAGCCAGCCGACGTCGTTTTTGTACGCCTTGCCGTGCTCTACCAACAGCACGTGCAGGTCGAGCTTACACGCGTCCGGGACGCGGCGGTTCAGGTGCTCGTACGCGGCGTCCCGACTCGCGGACTTCGGGACCCACCCTAACGCCATGGCGATCTTCCACACGTGCGCGTCCACCGGGAACTCGGCGCGTCTGTTTTTGAGGGTTCAGGGTCCGCGAGTCGAAAGGCGTCGGAAGCGGAATCGAAAGGCGTCGAGGTCGGGCGTTGAAACCGGGAGCTGGGCGGAGAGAGACGAACGCCACGCCGGGAGAGAAAGTCCTTAAGGGATGAAGTTCACAACGCGAACGCGGTCGTACGGGGACCAGTGTGATGATGCTCCGAGGACGCGCCTGAGGCAAAACACGAGCACGCACGCGATCGTCTTCGGGCCGACGCCCTTAAAACGCGACAGCTCCGACTTGACGTCGTCGTCGGACATGTCCCTGAGGTACTCCATGCACGGCGCGCCGCGCTCTTCGACGAGCGTGTTCAGGATGACCTTGATCCGCGACGTCTTGATCTCCGCGAGGCCGCCGCACTTTATCGCCGCCTCCACCTCCGCCGACGGCGCCGCGCGAATCGTCTCCCAAAAGTTGAGACGCCCGCGTCCGTCCCTCGACGGCGCGAACGTCGCGGCGAGGCGCGCGAACGCGCGCGCGCTGTTCACGTCCGTCGTGTTCTGGGACAGGATGGTCCCGACGAGCGAGTCCAGGACGCACTTCGGGTGATGCGCCGCGTCGTCCGCGTCGCCGGCGGCGGCGACGGCGGCGACGGCCGCGACGGCCGCGGCGTTCGCGTCGCCTCCTCCTCCGATCGCCGGCGTGGCGGGAAGCGCCGGGACGCCGCGGTCCGCGCCCGGTCCGACCGCCCCCAAGCTCGTTCGGCGGAGGAAGTCGCGGTAGTACTCCGCGTGGAGGTGCGCGAGCGCGTCGCGCGCGGCCCAGCATTCTTCCGGCGTGGGGCGCGACAGCGTCGGGTACGGCGAAGCGCCGCTCGAGGGTGGTGACGTCGTCGTCGCGTCCGCGACCACGATCGCGCGTCCATCGCGAACGTCGACGACGGACGGCGACGCCGCCTCGGTCTTCGCGTCGTTCTTCTCCGGCTTGACGACGTCCTCCCACGGGCTCTCCGTCTTCGTCTTCGCGCGCTTCGCCGCGGGCGGCTTCGCGGACGCTCGCGTCGTGCGAGCCATCGCCGTCGTCGCGCCGCGCCGGCTGAAGTGGCAGGCTGTTTCGCGCGCAATCTCTCGGTCGACGCGACGCGTCGTCGGCGACGCCGACGCCGACCGCTGCGACTGGAATTTCGCCGGCGGTGCGGTGGTCGTCACTCGCGGCCGCGCGACGTCCGTCGCGGCGAGAGGAACCCGCGCGTCGCCGTTCGAGGGCGAGCGCGACTTCCCCGCCGTCGGCGAGACGCGAGGCGCGGGGGTCGCGCCGCCGCGACTGGACGCTCTCGCCGCGGCGCGGTCCGTCGTCGTCAGATCCGATCGCCGGTGCCGAGTGATTATTATTAATTAATCCGCCCCTCTCTCGTCGTCAGCGCGGCGGCGACGAATCGAATCCCCGCCGACCCCTCCCACCCGCCGTCGCCATGATCTTCAACCTCGAGGGCCTGACCGTGTACTTCCCGTACGAGTACCTCTACCCGGAGCAGTACAAGTACATGCAAGAGCTCAAGCGCGGGCTGGACGCGAAAGGGCACGGATGCTTGGAGATGCCCACGGGCACGGGGAAGACGATCACGTGCCTCGCGCTGATCACGTCCTATCAGCTCGCGCACCCGGAGTGCGGGAAGCTCATCTACTGCACGCGCACGGTGCCGGAGATGGAGAAAGTCCTCGCGGAGCTGAGGGTGCTGCAGGCGTACCGAGAGAAACACGTCGGCGAGGCCGCGGCGATGTTAGCGTTGGGGCTGAGCTCGAGGAAAAACATGTGCGTGCACCCGAGAGTCGCGGAGGAGGGCTCGAGGGAGTCCGTCGACGCGCGGTGCCGGCAGCTCACCGCGTCGTGGGTCCGCGAGAAACATAACAGCGCGCTCGCGAGCGGGGAGGAGCCGACGACGGAGCTGTGCCAGTTCTTCGAGGACTACGAGAGGGAGGGCCCGGACGCGGTGCTTCCCCCGGGGGTGTACACCCTCGCGGATCTGCGGCAATTCGGAAGAACGAAAGGCTGGTGCCCGTACTTCACCGCGCGGCACATGATCAAGTGCAGCAACGTCATCGTGTACAACTATCAGTACTTGCTCGATCCCAAGGTGAGCAGCCTGGTGAGCAGGGAGCTCGAGAAGGAGTGCGTCGTGGTGTTCGACGAGGCGCACAACATCGACAACGTGTGCATCGAGGCGCTGTCGGTGAACTTGCGGCAGCAGACGTTGGACGTCGCGGGACGGAACATCACCGCGCTGTCCGCGAAGATCGAGCGCGCGAAGCAGACGGACGAGCGAAGGCTGCGCGCGGAGTACGACGCGCTCGTGAACGGGCTGGCGAATCAAGGGGTGTTACCGCGAGGGGGCGGCGAGGACGCCATCGCGAATCCGGTGATCCCCGCGGACATCTTACGCGAGGCGGTGCCGGGAAACATTCGCAGGGCGGAGCACTTCGTCGCGTTCATGCGACGGCTCGTGGAGTACCTGAAACAACGGCTTAAAGCGACGCAGGTGGAGCAGGAGACGCCGATGGCGTTCTTGGCGCACCTGTCGCAGACGGCGGCGATCGACGGCAAGACGTTGAAGTTTTGCCACGACCGTCTGACGTCGCTCTTGAAGACGCTCGAGATCGTGGACACGGAGGAGTTCAACGCCGTGTCGCTCGTCGCGGACTTTGGCACGCTCGTGGGGACGTACGAGAAGGGCTTCGCGCTCATCTTGGAGCCGTACGACGAGCGGTATCCGAACATTCCGGATCCGGTGCTGCAGCTGTCGTGCCTCGACGCGTCGCTCGCCATCGCGCCCGTCTTTGAACGCTTCGACAACGTGTTCATCACCTCCGGGACGCTGTCCCCTATCGACTTGTACCCCAAGCTTCTGTCCTTCAACCCGGTCGCGTGCATATCGCTGCCGATGACGCTGACCCGGGACTGCCTGTGTCCGATCGTGATCACCAGAGGCGCGGACCAGCAGGCGGTGAGCACCAAGTTTGACATGCGCGACGATCCGGGGGTGATTCAAAACTACGGGCGGATTCTCATCGACATGGCCGCGAGCGTCCCGGACGGCCTCGTCGCGTTCTTCGTGTCGTACTCGTACATGGAGCAGATCGTGAGCAAGTGGCACGAGACTGGGGTGTTACAGAATGTCATGCAGCACAAGCTCGTGTTCATCGAGACCCAAGACGTCGTGGAGACGTCTCTGGCGTTGGATAACTACCGACGCGCGTGTAACTGCGGCCGCGGAGCCGTTTTCTTGTCCGTCGCGCGCGGCAAGGTCGCGGAAGGCATCGATTTCGACAGGCACTACGGCAGGGCGGTCATCATGTACGGCGTGCCGTACCAGTACACGCTCTCGCGCATCTTACGCGCGCGGTTGGAGTACTTGCGAGAGACGTTTCAAATCAAAGAGGCGGACTTTCTCGCGTTCGACGCGGTGCGACAAGCCGCGCAGTGCGTCGGCCGCGTCATCCGCTCGAAAGCGGACTACGGCCTCATGGTCTTCGCGGACAAGCGGTACAACTCGCACGACAAGCGCGGGAAGCTCCCGGGGTGGATCACGACGCACTTGAAAGAGGAGCGTCTGAACTTGAGCACGGACATGGCGGTGCACGTGGCGCGAACGTTCATGCGCGAGATGGCTCAGCCGTACGACCGCGGCGTCGCGGGGCAGCAGCTGCTGGATCAGCGGGCGGTGGATTTGATGGCGAGGGCGGCGGGGTACGGGGCGGTGCCGCCGCGGATAGCGAACGGCGGCGGCGGCGGCGGCGGCGACGGGACGTCGTGACGATTCATTCCGACCGTGTAACGAAAGCGATCTCCTACGTAGAAAAATACATTCAGTACCCGAACCGCGCGTCCCCGCCGCTCTACTTGGACGCCTCCGCCTCCGGCGGCGGCGGGTTCGCGAGCGCCTTCTCCGGCGGCGGGTTCGACGGCCCCTGCGGGTTATTCTTCAGAAGGTACGCCGCCAGATACTCCACCGGGTTCCCCGGGCGCTCCTTCACGAGCGCCTGCATCCCTTGGAGCAAAATCGGGACCACCGCCTGCTCGAGGTACTGCCGGATCGGCAGCGCCTGGACGTCGAGCTTGTTCTGCGTCGCGAGCGCAGCCTCCTGCGCCGCGGCCGCGGCCTCCGGGTTGTCGTACCCGGCGTCCTCGGACGCGGGCACCGGCTCCGGCTCCGGCGCGGCGGCCTCCTCGCCTTCCACCTCGGCTGCGCACGAGCGAGCGACGACGGCGAAGCGAACGGTCAGAGAGAATCGACGGGGACGGGGGCCGGGACGGGGGAGACGAGACGGACGCGAGCGGGGAGGGCGTCGCGTCGTCGCGAGGCGTCGATCGAGCGCGTCCGTCGCGCGGGGAAGCGCACCGTCGACTGGGGGTTCCTCGGGCATCGTGCGCGTCGGCCTGAAGACGGCGCGGCGACGTGTGAGGACGGGCCGGAACGGGATGATTCAGTTCATTCCCGCGCGAAGTGCGCTGGCTGGTTTGACCGGGAAAGAAATATCCAGCAGAGGCAGAGGCCGGTCCTCTCGCTGTCGCGACCGCGCTCCCGACGTCGTCCGACGCGCGTCGTCGCCGCCGCCGTCGTCGTCGAAAACGACATGCCCGACGACGGCGCGTCTCCGTCGGGCGACGACGCCGGCGCGGCGGCGGAAGACGACGGCGAGCGCGAGCCCTCGCGCGTGCCGTGCCAACACATCTCGGGAAGCCTCGCCAGATCGATCTCCTCGGCGGTGGAGCGCGCGTCGTCGTCGTCGTCGTCGTCGTCGTCGTCGTCGTCGTCCAACCCAACGCGCGACGCCTCCGCCTCCTCCGACGCGGTCGTCGTCGCGCGTTGGGTCGCGGAGACGCTCGACGCCGTCCGCGAGGAGTCCCTCCGTCACCCCGGGGAGATGGACGCGGACGAGAGACGCGCGCGTATTGAGTCGATGGACGTGCGCGCGAACGCGCTGCTGCGACGCTGGCGCGACGGCGGCGCGTGGGCGGCGGCGCTCGTGCGCTTCCACGCGCGGCTCGCGATGGGCGACGGCGGGTGGGTCTGCGACGCCGCGACCGCGCGTCTGCGCGAGCTCCCGCCGCCGGGAGTCCTCGTCGTCGCCGCGACGGGGGCGCACCAGGGCGCGGAGGAGGACGGACGCGCGGATCGCGAAGCCGAGGACGCGGCTTTCGCGGCGGCGGCGGCGGGCGCGGACCCGGACGCGTGGCGACGCCGCCTGCGCGGACTCTTCGGAGGAGAACCTGAACCTGAACCTTCTCTCGTCAGTACAACAACTAGTGACGCTTCCGCGGGCGGCGTCGCGAAGAAAAACGACGCCAGCCGCGCGTGGGGCGTCGTCCAGGAGGGCGTCGTCGCCGGCGTCGACGCCGTCGCGCTCGGCGTCGGCGCGGTGTCCCTCGGCGCGACGCACGTCGCCAACGCGGCGTCTTCCGGGGTGAAAGACGTCCACGACGGCGTCGTCACGAGCGTCATGATCATCTCCGACGGGATACATCAGGGCGTGAGCACGGTGAACGGTCACGTGAAAGCCGTTTCGAAAGCCGTCGCGGACGGGACCACGCGGAGCCTCGGCGTCCTCCGCGGCGGGGGCGGGAGAGAGCGGGCGGAGGCGGAGGAGCGCGCGACGGTGCTGTCGGACATGTCCGCGGTGTTGATCGAGGACGTCGACGGCGCGTGCGAGTACATGACGGACGACGCCGCGGCGGCGTTGATACGCGCGGCGGCGGCGGCGGAGTCGGGGACGGAGGGTCGCGAGGGAGAGGGACGATCATAGGAAGCGTACAGTAGAAGCGTCGAAGCGCGCGCGTGAAACGGCGATAGAGCTAGCTAGTTCGCGTATCCGCCCGCGCCCGCGCCTACGCCTCTCTCGAGCCGCGCTTCGCGTCGTCGTAGCTCGGCTGGCGCTCCGAGCGCTTCGAGGGCTTCGTCCCGAGGAGATAGTCCAGCAGCGTGCGCTCGTCGTGCCTGTCCCGGAACTCCCTGTCTCCGAGAAAACTCCGCGACCCCGATTCCCGCGGCGGCGGCGGATCCCCTCGCCTCCGCCCACGACGCGCCAACTCCTCCCCGAGCTCGTCGAGATTCTTTCTCAGAAGGTCCTCGCGCGCGTCGCCGCCGCCGCGACGCCGACGCGCTTCTTCTTCCGCGTTCGGTCTGCTCGAGTCGTCGTCGAGCTCGAAGAACAGGCTGAACGGAAACGGCAGCTCCGGCGTCGGTCCTCCTGCGCCGCCCCCGCGCGTCTCGGAACTCCATTCCCTGGACGTGGACCACCCGCCGCCGAAGAGCCCGCCTTTGGGGTCTTCCTCCGTCTCCTCGCGCGAGTTTTCGATCTCCTCCGGGGCTCTGCGGCGCGACGCGGGCGGGATGGAAGCGTCAGGGCGGGTAGGAAACGAAGCCCGCGTGCGCGTGAGCGATCGGAACGACGACGAGACGAACGCGTCGCGGTCGATTGACGAAGAGCGACGAAGGGATCTGGCGGGGGCTACGTCCGGACGCACCGTCCCGGGCACATCCTGAACTTCTTCACGATGCGCTCGCACTTGCGTCGCATGATGCCGTTATCGTCCGGCGCGGTTCGGCACGAGTACTGCGGTCGCGGGATGAGGGGGCGACGGGGAGCGAGCGGGGTCGGTCGCGCGTCGAGAGGACGACCGAGGGAGCGAGCGGAGGAAATAGACGAGGGAGGGATCCCGCGCGGGGATCTATCTCGCCGCGCGCCGCGCACCGTCTCCGAGCTGCGGATGGAACACGCGTCGCCGCCGCCGTCGCGGCTCTGCGCGTCCGCGTTCTTCCTCTCCCACCACGGCGTCGTGTTCGAGGGCGCCATCGCGCGTTCGCGTCGACGGCGGCGCGCGCGACGTCGAATGAAATTCGTGGTCTACAGTATCTATTCTACCATTTCCATGCTGAGACAAAAAAGCACGGTTATTCCTCCTCCCCTTCCCCCGCGCCTTCGCCGATGACCTTCTCGATGATCTCCCTCACGTCCTTCTCGCTCTCCAACCGCGCCGCGTTCTCCGGGTGCTTGACCGTCAGCGACGTCAGCGCGCTCGCGGCGGCGAAGACGACCCGCCTGTCCTCCCCGGCGAGCGGGAAGCGCGAAGAAGACGTCGACGCGTCGGCGCCGCCGCCCGCGCGCGCGTCAGCTGTACGCCGGCGGATGATCTCCGCGAGCGCGCCTATCGCTCCGCACGCGCCCGCCTCGCTCGCGTTCGCCTCGCTGTTGTGCGCGAGGTTCCGAAGCGCGCCGATGGCTTCGACGCAGTGCTCGCGCCGCGCGATCTCGCACAGGGACGGTATGACGCCCAACGCGCGAGCGTTTTCGCGGTTCGCCGCGTTGGCGCACGCGAGCGCGCGCAACGCCGCGACCGCCTCAAGGCGCTCGGCGGCGTCCGTTCGCATTCTCTCGCCGCGACGGTTCGCATCTCCACTTTTGTCGTCGTCGCTCGAGCCCACATCCAGCCCCTCGCTGAGTTTTCTCGCGAGCGCTCGCATGACCGAGATCGGCGCTCGCGACTTCCTCGCCGGGCGCTGGTTCAGCTGCACTTCGCTTCGACGACTCAGCGTCCCGGGTTCCGCCGTCGTCGTCGTCGTCGGCGGCGGCGGCGGCGGCATCTCGTCGTTCGTCGACTCTGAGACCTCGCGCTCGGTCCTCGTGAGGTCCGCTCCCGCGTCGCGCAGCACCGCGAGCGCGTCGGCATCGCCTAATAGTAACGCCCACGCCGCGGGCGTCGTTTCCATCGGTCCCACGCCTCGATCCCGCCCTTCCGCGGCTTCAACGACGCGCACGCGGCGGCGGCGACGCGCGTCGTCTCGAGATCGCCGCTCCTCACTGCGAGGTGCAAGATCGTTTGCTTGTCCGCGTCCCTCGCGCCGGCGCGCGCGCCCGCGGCGAGAAGCGACGCGAGCGCATTCGCGCACCCGCGCGCGGCGGCGAGGTGCGTCGCGAGCGTCCCCGCGTCGGACGCGTCGTGAACGATGTCTTCAATCGGCGTCGGACGATCGTACCCCCCGCCCGCGTCCGCGGCCAGCAGAGCGTCGACGACCGCCGCCGCGGTCGGCGCGAGCGACGCGGCGGCCGCGCGAAGGTGCGACCCGAGCGGCGGCATCCCGGAGCGCAACAGCGCGTCGACGACGTGAAGCGCGCCGAGGCCGCACGCGGCGAGCATGCACCGACGCTCGTTGGACGACGCCGCGGACCGCGAAAACGCTCGCACGTTGGGCGTTATACTGTCTTCTTCTTCTTCTTCTTCTTCTTCTTCGTCGTCATCGTCCGCGACGACGTCCACGCCGTTCTCGCGCAGGTACGTCGCGTAGTCCCTCAACACCGGGCGCGCGAAGATCTCGCACGGCGCGAACGGTCCGTCCGCCGCGCCAAACGCGCACGCCGCGGGCTCGTCGTCCGCGCGAAGCAACGCCGCGGCTTCGCCGTCTCGCAGACCGACCGACCCGGACCCGGACCCGCGACCGACCACGCCGCCTCTCTCGCCGCCGCCGCTGAGCCGATCGTTCGACGCTAACGCCCTGGACACCGCGAGGACGTTCAGCGAGCTTCCGCCGAGCTGAGGGTCGTTCCATACAAAGCGATGTCGGGGTGGAGTTCATTGGCGTCAGTTGGAGTTGAAAGGCGTCGAGGACGGGAATTGAAAGCGAGGTGTGGGCGGAGAGATGCGCCGGGAAAAGTCCTTAAGGAACGACGTTCACCACGCCAACGCGGTCGTATGGGGACCAGTGTATAGAACGCACCTGATCGATCGAGTCGAGCGCGCCGATCGCGGCGGCGTCGACGCCGAGCGCCGCCGACCACGCGCGCGCGACGATCGATTCTAGTCCCCGCTCCGGGGTGACCGCGTCTGGTCTGAACACGCGCGTTTTACCTTGGCGTAACCACGAGTCCAGAGTCACCCTGTCTACCTTCCCACTGGATGTTAACGGCCAGTTGTCGTGCGTTATGAACACGAAATTACTCGGCGTCGCGTGCTTCGGAAGCGTCGACCGGCAGTGAAATTCGCACGCGGCGGCGTACATCCACGCTTCCGTCGTCGCGTCGAACGTCGGCGCCTTCACGCGCGCGTGCGCGGTGATGACCTGCGCGGTCGCGTCGAACGCTATCGCCGCGTCCGCGACGAGCGCGCAGTTTTTAAGCGCCGCCTCGATGTCGTCGAGCTCGACGCGGTTCCCGCGTATTTTCACCCTTCGATCGATCCGCCCGAGAAGGATCAAGTCCCCGGACGCCACGTGTACGAACCCGACGTCGCCGCTGCGATAGACCCTCCCTAACGGCGAGTCCACGAACGTTTTCGAGGTCAACGCGGCGTCGTTGAGGTATCCCTCGCACACGCACGCGCCGCCGATGACGATTTCCCCCGTGTTCGCGTCGCCGGGATCCGCGAATTCCGCGACGGCGCCGTCGTCGCGAAAGCTTTTCGCGACGCGAACGAACGCGAAGCCGTCGCCGTCGTACGCCTTCCCCGCGCGCGACGGTTCATCGTAACCGTCATTCCTCGACCGTTTTGAAGACACTAACCGTCTCGACTGCACCGATTCCATCCTCGCGTACGTCTGCAACACCGTCGTCTCCGTGGCGCCGTAGGCGTTGTACAGCGTCGCGCCGGAGCCCTCCGCGGCCCACGTCTCAGGGTCGTTCCATACAAGCGATTGTCGGGGTGGAGTTCATAGGCGTCAGTTGGAGTTGAAAGGCAACGCGGGCGGGGATTGAAAGCGAGGTGTGGGCGGAGAGACGCGCCGGGCAAAGTCCTTAAGGATCGGCGTTCACCACGCCAACGCGGTCGTATGGGGACCAGTGTATAGAACGCGCCTCGATCGTCTCCGCCGTCATCTTCTCTCCCGCGAGCGTGATCACCTCCAACGCGGGCGCCTCTTTCGCTCTCAACGACGCCATGGAAAACAACGTCGGCGTGCAGCACACGTGCGTGACCGCCCCCGCGATCAACACCCGCGCAAAATCGCGCTGAAAGAGCCCCCGGGACGCGACGACGACGGCGGCGCCGGCGATCAACGCGGCGGCGACGTCCCCGGCGTGGACGTCGAACGTCGCGTTGGACGCGAGGCACACGCGCGAGTCGTGGCGAACGCGCTCGACGGACGCCTTGCGCGCCGCGTACGCGAGGAGGCGGCGGTGCGACCCGGGGAGGGCTTTGACGCCGCCGCCGGTGGTGCCGGACGTGAACGCGACGTAGAGCTCCGCGTCGGCGGCGTCGTCGGCGGCGGCGGGTTCGGCGTCCGCCGTCGCGGCGGCGCGGTCTTCGCGGACGTCGCTCACGACGACGACGTCCGCGCGCGCGCCGAATATCTCCATCGCGCGCGGGATCTCCTCGCGCGTCGCGCACAGCACCGTGGGCGTCGTCCTCGCGTCGTCGTCGTCGTCGCGTCCGAGGCATCCGACGACGCGCGCGGCTTCTCGGATCCTCGCGCGCGGCCACGCCTCCGCGTCGAGCGGGACGACGCTGCGACGCGCGCGCGAGGACGCGAGCAGCGCGACGACCGCAGCGACGCCGTCGCGGCACAGCGAGACGACGCGCGCGGGCGCGTCGTCGTCGTCGTCGTCGTCGTCGTCGTTCGACGTCCTCCAGCTCGCGCGAAGACGCGCCGCGAGCGCGTCGACGACGCCATCCAGCTCCGTCCACGTGAGGCGCGTCGTCGTCTCCGACGCCGTCTCGTCGTTCACGAGCACGACCGCGGTCGCGCGCGGGGCGGAGCGCGCGAGGCGCGCGAGGTGCGCGTCGAGGCGATGCATCTACGACGTCGTCATCTCGTCTCGACGCGCCGCGCGGCGGTCGGGAGCGTATGCGCCCCGTTCTGTGGAGGCGGCGTCTCGCTGCGCGTTGAATCTGCTGGTCTCGGAAAAAGCAAATTCCCGGAGAGGACCCGCGCAGTCCTCCGCGGCATCTCAGTCCTCCGCGCACCACGCCCGGTCATCTCAGAAGGGCGTTCGCCGCCGCCGTGGGCGTCGTCTCGCGCGTCATGGACGGCGCGAGCGCGGCGGCGGCGGCGGCGGCGGGACGCGCGCTGACGACGTCGCCGCGGGTCCGTCGTCGAGGTCGACGGACGACGATCTCGATTTCGTCGACGACGACGACGACGACGACGCGCGCCGTCTCTCCCTCGCTCGCGCCGTCGCCGTCGCCGTCGACGCCGTCGTCGCGACGTCCCCCGCCGATCCGCGCCCCGAGCTGGCCACTGCGCGCGTCCAAGGCGTCCAAGTCTGGGCGGTTCCCGCCGACGCCGTCCACGTCCGCGCATCCGCTCGCGTCCTCCTCCGAGGCGGACGACGGCGGGCACGACGACCTCGGCGATCTGTGCGCGCGATGGCGCGACGGCGCGGGGACGCCGCGCGACGCGGTCAGGCTGCAGATCGAAGCGATGCTCCGCGACCGCGGCGACGCCTCCTCCTCCTCCTCCTCCTCCTCCTCCTCCTCCGACGCCTCCTCCGACGCCTCCGGCTGGCGGCTGCTCCTGTCGCACAAGAACGAATCGCTCTACAACGCCTTCGCGCTGGAAGTCGCCGTCGCGTCTCCGGGCTCGCGCGCGCTGACCACCGGGCTGTTCGCGCTCCCGGCCCCGCTCCCGCCGTCGACGCTGACGCGAATGGCGGGAACGCGCGCGGTGCTGTGCCCGCTCGCGTGCGGCGAGGACGCGGACGACGTGCTCGCGGCGGTGGACGCGCTTCCCGTCGCGATCGATCTCCCCGGCTCGATCCCCGTGGCTCTCCATTACGATTGCGTCGCGCGGCGCGCTTCGCGCGACCGCGTCTCGTCGCAGACGCTAACCGACGCGCTGCACGAGACGATGAAAACCTGGGGCGGCGGGTTCGAGCACGGGATGTACGCGCGGTTCGACGATCCGACGACCGCGGAGGCGACGGACGCGGCGCGGCGGACCCTGCGATTCGTTCTCGCGGAGACGAGTCGCGGGTACGTCTTCGGTCTCGCGACGTTCGCGCCTCCGCGGCCGCTCGCGAAGTGCGACTGGAATCGGAAGCCGAACAACTACAGCGCCGGGTTACGGCAGGAGATCGCCGCGGCGGCGGTGAACGTGGCGATGATGACGCGCGGCGGCGGCGGCGGCGGCGGCGACGCGGACGTCGTCATCGACCCGTGCTGCGGCGGCGGGACCATCTTACACGCCGCATGGGCGCGCGGGCACCGCGCCGTCGGCGGCGAGCTCATCGCGCTCAACGCGAGCAACGCGCGAGGGAACATCGCGTCGTTCCGGCCGCACATGCCCGCGCTGCACGCGTCGCTTCTCGCTATCGACGACGACGCGGACGCCCCGGCGGCGAACGAGGGGAGAGGCGGAAAACGAACGCTCGACGCGACGACCGGTTTGCTCTCGCCGCCGCCCGTGGTCCTCGAAAACGACGCGACCGCGCCCACGGACTGGGCCGCGACGGTCAAGGCCACGACCGGACGCGAGGACGCGCGCGTCGCCGCGATCGTGAGCAACCTCCCGTTCGGACGGCAAGTCGCCGTCGGCGGCGGCCCCGGCGGCGGCAAACGCGGCGGCGCGACGGACGACGAGTACGCGCCGTTACTGCGCGCGCTGAGAGACCACGCGCCGCGGCACGTCTTCTTATCCGGCGTACCGATCGCGGCGGCGATGCGCGAGGTGGGGTACGAGGGCGTCGTCGAAATCGCGCTGTGCCGGCGAGGGCGGACGTTCATGACGGTGGCGGCGGGCGCGGGGGGCGTCGTCCCGACGCCGTCGACGGCGTTCAGCGCGCGCGAGGCGGCGCGCGCGAAGGCGGAGGACGGGTACGTGCACGCGGCGACGCCGGATTGGGTGGCGGAAGCGGAGGAGGAGGAGGAGTGCGCGGCCGCGAGCGGCGGAACGCCGAGACCGCCGCTGCGGGTCGCGATCGACGCGTCGTACGAGCAAGATTCGCAACGTGCGATACGTTCAGGTGCGTTCTATACACTGGTCCCCATACGACCGCGTTGGCGTGGTGAACGTCGTTCCTTAAGGACTTTGCCCGGCGCGTCTCTCCGCACACCCCTCGCTTTCAATCCCCGACCGCGACGCCTTTGAACCCCATCTGACGCCTTTGAACTCCACCCCGCCATCGCTTTGTATGGAATGGCCCTCAGTCGCGAAGCAGCTCTCGGAGTGTCTGGGCGTGACGCGCAAGACCAACAAGGCGATGGACGTCACGGTGGACCTCACGTTCGCGAGCTGGGACGGCACCGTGGGCGCGCACGCGGTCGAGCACTTCAACGCGGAGCGATGGGTCGGCGTCCGGAGAGACGCGAGGAAAGTCGAGGACATTTTCTCGTCGGCGTCGGCGTCGTCGGCGTCGGCGGGTACTGATCTCGTGTACCTGTCCCCCGACGCGGAGGACGTCCTAGAGGACGTGGACGCGGACACGGTGTATGTCATCGGCGGGATCGTGGACCTCGCGGCGAGGGGCACGGCGACGAGTCTCCCGCGCGCGCGCGCGGCCGGGATGCGGACGGCGCGGCTGCCGATTCGCGAGCACCTGCCTCGGTGCACGTCGCAAATCTTAAACATCGACACCGCGCTGAAAGTTCTGTGCGAGAAGTACGCGGGGAAGGAGTGGACGGACGCGCTCGAGGCGGCGCTGCCGGCGCGGCAGCAGGGCGAGCGCCCGGCGCGGTTTAACCGTCCGCTGAACGCGAATAAGGAGGGCGAAGAAGCGATCGCCTCGGCGAGTCTAGAATGATGATCAGTATTTCGCGACTGATGATGGATGCTCTACGTAACTCGTCTTCCGGTCCGCGAGCTTCCTCCTCCTCCTACACTACCTATTTCCCGCCGCCGTCGCCGTCGACGGGTTTCTTCCTCCAGAACCTCCACCCCCGGCGCTCTCTCTTCGCCTTCTCCGGTTCCTCCTCCGCCTTGGAGGGTCCTCGAAACGCCCGACACGCCGCGGCGCCGAGATCGTTCCACGCCGCGCTCCCTCCGTTCAACAGCACGCTCCCCGCGTACGGCGCGTAGATCGCGCTCGGCTCCGCGGCGAAGAGGCCGAAGAGCGCGAAGGTCCCCGCGCCAGCGATCGCGCCGCGTCGGACCGCGTACGACTGCCCGACGTTCGCGCCCACGGTCGAGCCGAGGAGGACGCCCATCGCTCGCAAGACCCACGCGTTCCCCGGCGTCATCGTCCCTCCCGCCTCCGCCTCCGCGAGCGCCATCTGCTCGCCGACGGCTTTCCTCGTGCGCTCGAACCCGGTGACGTATCCGACGCCCGCGGTCGTCGCCCCGAGCGCGGCGAGGGCGTAGTACGGCAGGTTGGAGCGGAATTCCGCGCGCGATTCCATCGCCGCGAGCGTGCCGCGGATCCGAGCCGCGTCCGCGGCCGCGGCCGCGGCTCTTTGCGACATGACGACGACGCGGGGTCCGCGAGGAGGAGGAGGAGGACGCGAGCGAGTCCGCGCGTCTCGTCGACGCCGAGGTGGAGCGACCGCGGCTGGCGGGTCTGTCGTCCAGCGCGCGGCGAAAGTGCGGTCGCACAGCTGTGCGTCCGCGTCCTCGTCCTTTCCTCGGTTTGAAGTGTTTTTTCGTCGTCCGCGTCGTGTTGTAAGCGAGCGCGGCACTTCCACGACGCGCGCGGCGCGCCTCGCCGCCGATATCGCCCCCCGCGAGCTCGCTCGCGACTTCCCTCGCACGCCTCCGCGCCGCTCCCGCCGCGCGATCGTCCTCGCGACCCCTTCGCGCGCGTCCTAACGACGCCCCCTCGAGCTCGCTTTTCAAACCACCGCAGGTGTGAGAAGTATGCCGCGCAACAAAGACCGCCCCGCCGTCGTCTACCCGACCGGCGACCCGGAGTGGAAGAACTACATGAAGATGTCGTTCTTCGCCGGCGCGGAGATGTACGACGTCCACTGCGTGCAATACATAGCGAAGAAGCTCGCGTGGCCGATGGCGCCCGCGGGCCCGGACCGTTCGAAGCTCTCCAAGGGCGCGCTTAAAAGTTTGCAAGACGCGGAAGCTCTTTTCGTTTCGAAACTCTCAGAGGCGAGCGACGACCCGAGCACGCCGACGATCGAGGACCTCCTCAAGCCCGAGTTGCGAGCGGACTACGTAAAGAACCTCGAGATGGATTCCTTTGGGAACGTGGGGGGATTCTCGCTGTACGTCAAGGCGCCGGGAGAAAGGTTCGAGGTGAAGCACTACCAGAGGCAAGGGAAGCAACTGGACGAACTCGTGGTCAAACACTACGCGGACGAGTCGTTCAAGCCTCTCATCGACTTTCACCTCCCCGAAACCGCGGGTAAGGTTCTCGCCGCGGAGATCTCGAAGTGGCCCGGGTGCTACGCCAAGCGTGTGTTCCTTTCCGACGAAGAGAAGCTGAAGCACGGCTTCAAATGTAAAGCCCCCGTCGCTTTCACGCACGTCGCAATCTCAAAAGAAGGCGGCAAGGCGTTCAAAAGCGGCGAAGTCATGGAGCCGACGAAAGCGCAGCTCGCGTGCAAGCGTTTCTACGACGAGCGGTGCGCGGCCGGCACGCCGGGCTTCAGGATCGCGTTCCGCATCCCCGACGGTATCGTCCACAAACCCTTCAACATTGAAGAGTATTTGAGAGAGAGGGGTGGGGGCTACGAGGACGACTTCGCGGACTTCCCCGACTTGGCGGACGAGGACACCTCTTCTTCCGGCGACGAGCCCGAGAACGAGAACCCGGAGGCCGTCCCGAGCAAGAAACCGAAGCTCGAGAAGGCAGCGCGGACACGGAATGAAGGCAGGGTGGACACGGAATGAAGAAGAAGCGGCGGCACGAGGAGGACGACACGACGAACGAACGAACGAACAATACGTAAGAGCGCATGAAGAATGAAATTTCAAGATGATACGACTCGCGCGTCGCGCGTCATCGCCACTTGCTCACCTCGTCCACGTACCGCCTCGTCATCCTCGCGACGCCGCTTCGATACACCGCAGCCTGCCTCGCGACCGCGGGCGCGAGCGGGTCCGCGGCGACGACCTCGTCGACCCTCCGCGAGCTCGCCGCGGCGACCGCCGCCGCGATGGCTTTTCGGCTCCCCGCCGGCGCCGACGTCTCCGCGCCGCCGCCGCCGCCGCCGCCCATCCCGGTCGCGGCGTCCATCCTCGCGTTCTGCGCTTCCAGCGCGAGCTTTAACCCCTCGATCGCGGCCGTTTTCCGCGCCGCCGCGTCTGGCCGGCCGCGCACCCCCCCCGCCTTCGCCGCCTCTTCGTTTCCCTCGATCGCGCCGCCGAAGGACGCGTGGAGCTCCGCCTCGAGCGCTTCCGGCGTGAACCCCCACACCTCCAACGTCCGCACGACGTCCGTCGGAAGATCCTTCAACCCCCCCGGCGGCGGGTGTTGAGGAAGGATCACCTGCAGCGGGATCCCGCGGACGCGGCTCAGCGTCAGCCGCGCGCCTCTGACCTCCGCGTCGAGCTCCGCGGCGGCCCGGCCCTCCGCCGTCGTCTCGTCGAACGTCTTCTTCCCGGGTCCGCCGCCGCCGCCGCCGCCGCCGTCGTCGTCGTCGTCCGCGTGCTTCATCCAATGCGGATGCAACACGAGCGCGTCGTGCGGGTTCTCCCTCTCCGCGAACCCGTGCACGAAGAGCAGCTCCTCGTTCGGTTTATCTCCGTAGGATATCAACACCTCCTCCCCCGGCCCCGGGACGCTCAAACACTCGAGCGTCACCGTCGGCTCCCCCGCGGTCGCGCCTTCTCTTCCCGAAGCGTTCGCGACGGCCCACCGCGCGTTGGGTCTCGCGCACGAGTGGTTCGCGAAGTCTATCCCGGGGACGATGGCCTCGACCGCGCCGGACGCTTCAGGGTCCGGGCCGATCGGCAGCGCGAGCGCTCTGGACCAGAACGTCGCGTACGCCCAGAGGAACTCGTCCATCGTGATCGGCTTCGCGGACGGTTTCGTCGCGCGTCGACGCCTTAAATCTCGCTTTCCGTTTCCGCCCCCGAGCCACCAGGGTAACCATCCCCCTCCCGTCTTCTTCTCCCTCTCCTCGGGCGGGACGTGCGACGCCACCGCTCTCATCAACTTCTTCCCCGCGGGGATCGCGCTGTCCTTCAGAACGCTCGCGAGCCGCCGCCTCTGCGCGCTCACCGCGCGGTGCAAGTTGGTGCCCCGCAGCGCTTTCATCTCGTTCGCGTCGTAGAACAGCGGCGTCTTGTGCTCGCCCGGCTTTGGCAGCGCGTCGACGTACGCCTTGATGGGCGACCCCTCGCCGCGGCGACGCTCGACGATGAGCAGGAGCATCACCGCGAGCCTCTCGTCGATCTCCCCCGACTCGAGCATCTCGCGGAAGACGGCGCCCGCGGGCGTGTCGTGATTCGCGGCGGCGTCCGCGGAGACGGCGAGTCGCATCGGCACGGACGCGAGGACGACGGGCTTCGCGCCGCCGCCGAAGAGCCAAGCGGCGGCGCCGGCGGCGCTCGACGTTTTCTGAGTCTCGCTCTCCTCCGCGTTCTTCGCGTCGTCCTCGTTCTTCTTCACGAAGAGCCCGAAGCCGTGGTCCTCCGCGTGCCCGCCCGACGCGCCCGCGTCGATCGGGCGGATCTCCACGCGATGGAGGCTCGCGCCCGCGGCGAATAGCCATCCCTGCACGCGCTCCGCGGCGTCGTACGGCAGCGAGCCGATCGCGACGCACTCGCGGCAGTCCGCGGGAGAGGCGGCGGCGGCGGCCGCGGCGGCGGCGGCGGCGGCGGCGGCCGCCGCCGCGGAGGCGAGCGCGACGCCGCCGACGCGCGATGATGATGGCTCGGGGCGACGACGCGCGCCGCTCGTCTCGAGCGTCGACGCGCGTCTCGCGCGAACGACGCGCGCGCCGGCGGCGTCCGCGACGGGACGCGCGGTCGCGGGTATCGACGCGGCGAGCGCGGCCGCGAGCGCGCGTCTCGCGCCGCGGTGCGACATCGCGAGAGGTCGCGAGCGTGCGGCGGGCGCGGGGAGCGATGACGACGACGGACGATCCGCTCCGAGACTCGACCGCTGCGCTGCGCGCGAAACTGAATGCAATTGCACGTCACGGAGACTTGAAATAACACACACACAAATTGCAGTCTCTATCGCCCCAACTTGACGACCTTCGCCGCCACAACCGCGGGCGCGACGCCCGTGAGACCGATACGCGGCGCGCCATCCCCGGACGCCGTCCACGCGACGCCTCCGGGGTCGCGCGAGCGCGATGACCGACGCGTCCGCGACGCCGACGCGCGCGTATCGCCCGCTCGACGTCGACGCCGCGAACGCCTCGACGCGAAGAGGCGTGGCGGACGACGATTCCGTCCCCGACGGCAGCGGCACGCCGGGCTCTCCGACCAGGATCGGGTCGCGGACGCGATGGACGAAGGACGACGCGTCGGCGTCCACGTCCGGCGGCGGCGGCGGCGACGACGCGAGCGTCATGACGCAGGTCACCAGGTCCGGCGGCCTGGAGCGGCCCAAGTACGGGAGGGATAATCAGCCGCAGTCGTTCAAGCGGCCCGATCGGATTCAATCGCGATCGGACGCCGCCGCGGGGGGGGCGCGACGGGAAGACAAGAAGAGCGGCGGCGGCGGCTGGTTCGCCGCGCTGTTTTGCTGCGGGAAGCCGCGCGACGACGACGACTCGCCGAGACAGGTGCGCGCACGCGCCGCGTCGGTCGGCGGCCTCGAGCGAGCGATGCCGCTTCCGTCCCAATTCAACAACATTCAGTTCTCCGAACGATTTCCGCCTTTCCACGAGGGGTGGTAATCCGAATTCCCCGCCGCCGCCTCCGACGTCGCCCCGACCACCACCTCCCTCTAACGAACGCCGCCCCCGCCCCCCCCCCACTCGTAATAATGACTACCAGCAGCAAGAAGCGCTGATGCCGCCGAAGCGCGCCGCCCCGCGCGGGGGCCCGAGAGCCGTCCACGTCGGCGACCCGTTCATCGGCCCGGCGCTGTCGTCGGACCGAGGGAAGCCGTGCCTCGTCCTCGACCTGGACGAGACCCTCGTGCACTCGTCGTTCAAGCCGGTGACGGGGGCGGACTACATCGTCCCCGTGGAGATCGACGGCTCGAACACGGACGTGTACGTGTTGAAGCGGCCGTGGGTAGATTACTTCATGGAAGAGATGGGAAAGTATTACGAGATCGTCGTGTTCACGGCGTCTCTGAGTAAATACGCGGACCCGCTGCTGGACTTGCTCGACGTCGGGAACGTGATCCGGTGGAGACTGTTCCGCGAGCACTGCTACCCGTACCAAGGGAACTACGTGAAAGACCTCACGTCGTTGGGAAGGCCGATGCACAAGACGATCATCATAGACAACTCGCCGCACTCGTACGCGTTTCAGGCGCGTTCTTCTCGCACTGGTTCCCATGCGACCGCGTCGGCGCGGTGCACGCCTTTCCTTGAGGACTTTCGCCGTCGATTCTCTCCGCCCACCCCACGATTTCAACGTCCGCCCTCGACGCCTTTCAACTCCGACTGACGCCTTTGATCTCCACCCCGACGTCGCTTCGTATGGGCGACGACCCTCAGCCGCAAAACGCGTTGCCGGTGAGCTCGTTCATCGACGACCCGCGAGACGACGATCTGCTGGACCTGATTCCCATCCTGATCGACCTCGCGAAGGTCGCGAATGTGGAGAACACGCTCGTGGAGAACGACGGGTTCGTGCCGCGGAGGAGTTGGAGGGCCGCGACGGGGCAGCCGCAGCCGACGCAACGGCGGTTGCGATAGCGGTCGGTTCCCGTCGCGTCGAGACGAGACGAACGAGGGACGGTAGTCAGTCGTCTCCGTCGCGCGCGTCGCTTTATATTTATACTCGCTTTGATTGCATCTTAGATCGTATTTATCACCGACGTCCCTATCCCGTCGCTCCCGTCGTGGTTTACGTAGTTGTACAAAACCGCCCGCCCGCGGCCCTCTCCGTCCGTCGTCTTCCTCCTTCTCGCTCTCGCCGCTCACTCCTCCTCGTCGTCGCCGTCGTCATCGTCCATGGACAACAGCGGAAACACGTTCGACGCCTCGATGGTCTTCTCCTCCGGGACGTGAATCACCGGCCCTTTCGCCTCGCGCTTGGCGCCGTGGGCCGCGTTCGAGTTCGAGTTTGAGTTTGAGTTCGCGGGGATAAACCCGGCGGCGATCTCTTTCGCGATCGGCTTCGGCGCCGGGAGCTGCCCCGGCGCGAGCTTCACGATGCCCGCCTTGGCGTTGACCTCGTCGTGGTACTCCTTGATCTTCTTCTCCGCCTCGGCAATCTTCGCGGTGGAATCCACGGGCTTCGCGGCGCCGAACGGGTTGGATTTCGACGACGGCGCCGCGGTCGCGGGTTCCGCGGCGAGCTTGTCCGCGTCCGCGCTCCGCGGTTTGAGCTGCAGCTTCTTTCGCTCCGGCGGCGGCGGCGCGTTCGGATCCGGCGGCGAGGGCGCGGGTCGATCCCTGCCAAAGCTCTCGCGCCCGCCGCCGCCTCGCGGGGCGTGGTACCCCCCGCCGGTGAAGTTCCTCGCGCCGCCGCCCGGCGGCGACCCGACGACGTCTTCGCTGCGACGGCGATCGCGGCCGCCGCCGTGCGCTTCTTGGTACCCGCCGCCGCCTTCGCGTCTGCCGAACGATCCGCCGCCGCCGCGCGCGTCGCCGCGGTCGCCGCGGTTGTAGCTCTCCGCGAAGCCGCCGCCGCTGCGACCCTCGCCGAGCCCGCGCCGGTCGCGCCCGCCGCCGTCGCGTTCGTTGTATCGATCCGCGAACCCGCCGTGTCGGTCGCGTCGGTCGCCGCGGCCCTCCGGCCTCCCTTCCGCGACGTTCACCCGCAGCGGCCGTCCGCCGAGATCCCTCGCGTCGAACACGAGCGCCTTCTTCAGCGACTCGACATCCTTAAACTCGATGAAGTACCCGCGCGGGCGGTCCGTGTCGCGGTTGCGAACGACCCGCACGTCCGCGACGTCGCACCCGTCGTTCACGAACAGCCCGACGACTTCGTCCTGCGGGCACTCGTACGGGAAATTCCCGACGAACGCGGTGAACGGCGGTTCCGACGGGATTGGAATCTTCGGCCGCTGCGGCCGCGACGACTCCGCGACGCCGCCGCCGCCGCCAACGGGTCCGAGTCCGGGTCCGTCCGCGGCCGCGTTGGCGTTCGCGGCGGGCGCGTCCGGCTGCGGCGTCGGTCGCGTCGTCGTCGCGCCGACCGGCCCGAACATGGATTCGTACGCGTTGGCGGGGCGCGTCGACGTCGGCGACGTCCCCGCCGCGTTTCCAAAGATCGGCGGCGAGGACCCGAACGAGTACGACGGCGCGGCGTGCGCGGCGCCGCCTACGCCGCCGCCGAAGTTGAACGCGCCCATCCCGGGCGGCGGCGCCATCTGACCGCCCATCATCGGTTGTTGACCCAGCGGTTGACCCAGCATCGCGCCCGCGTACGGGTTCAAGTTCAACCCGCCGACGCCGCCCGGCGCGCCGAAGACGTTGAACGCGCCGGCGCCCGGGGGAGGCGCGGAGTGGAATTCCGCGCCGTCGTCGTCGGCCCACGACTGTTGGACGGGGACGAGGAGAGGAGGGCGGGGAGATCGACGATGGATGAGACGACGATTCGATCGGTCGTTCGATCGGGACGACGGATAAAAAACGAACGAACGAATGGCTCGGACGACCGAATCGAGACGCGGACGACGACGGGGGTCGACGCGCGCGGAGACGCGCGCCGTCGCCTTCGAGCGCGCCCGACGGGCTCGCGCCCGTGTCTAAGGCGCACGGCGCGGTAGGAGACGCGCGCGGCGGTCGCGCGCGGTCGCGTCCGCGCGCGATCTCGGCGCGCGCCCTCATTCAACAACGCGATAGATAATTTACGCGCGCGCCAGCGGGTCCCGGGAAGAAAAAGAATCGCGGGGCCCCGCGAGATCGCGAGACGTCGCGCGAACGCGCACCGCCATGGTATCTGCGCGCGTTCCGTGCGGGTTTCCCTGAACACGCCGCCGGTCTCGACGTCCGTCTCTCGCGCGCCGCTTCCCCGCGGATCGCGCGTGCGGTGCACACTGCGACGGCCCGCGATTACCCCCCCCGCTGCCCGCACGAACAAAAATCTCCCCTGGGATCACCCGCGAAAGGCGGATCCGCGCGCGCGTGTGCACCGACCGCGCTTGGCTCGCGAGAGCCTGGCTTTTCGACGCGCGGGCGAAAACCTAGCGACGCGCGCGGCACACCGACGGCGCCGACGCGACGCCGACGCGCGCGCGCTCCCGCGCGTTCATTCCTCGCGCGCGTCCGAGCCGTTCGATCGATCGAACGCGACGCCCCTCGAGAGACCTCCCGCGTCCCTCGGAACCGAAGGCGCGGACGACCCCTGGCCTTTTGCGCGCGAGCGTCGCCGACAGCGACACGCGGCCGCGCGATCGCTTTCTCGACGCGCGGCGGAGGGACGCGCGACGATGACGCGCGGCGGCGACGCGCCCGAGGCGCCGCGCGACGGCGACGCGCCGCCGGGAGGGCAAAACGTGAACGCGGACGCGGGCGCGACCGCGCCGACCGCGCCGCCGCCGCCCGGGATGGACGCCGCGACCGCCGCGCAGACGGCGCGCGCGCTCGCGGCGCAGCAGCAGCAGCAGCAGCAGCAGCAGCGGTGGCTGGCGTCCGCGATGATGCCGGGGCCCGCGCCGACCGCCCACGCGACCGCCGCGGGCGGGCTCCACGCGATGCAGGCCGCGATGCAGAGCCAGGCTGCGCTCGCGGCGGCGCTCGCGAACCCGGCCGCGATGGCGCAGGCGATGCACGCGATGGCGGCGATGGGCGCGGGCGCGACGGGCGGCGCGTTCCCCGCGCCGTTCGCCGCGCCGTCGTCGTCGCCGTTTCCTCCTCCCGGCGCGTTGATGCCTCCTCCTCTTCAGGCCATGGCGGCGGCGCAGGCCATGGCGCAGGCCGCGGCCGCGCGGGCGCACGCCGCCGCGCCCCCACCGGCCGCCGCGCCTCCCGAGCGCGCGCCCGGCGCCAAGGCGGAAGCCCCGGAGGCGATGGAGACGGACGACGCCGCCGCGGATGCGGCGGCGCCGGCGGCGCCGGAGCCTCCGCCGAAGAAGAAACGCGGCCGCCCTAAGAAAGACCCGAACGCGCCGCCGAAGACGGAGACGAAGAAAGCCGCGACGGCCGCGACGTCTACCGGCGGCGGCGACGCCGCGACGGGTCCTGGTCCCGGCGGCGGCTCCAAGAATAAAACGGCCGATGAGAAGCCGTTATCGGCGCGAGGAGGGGTCGACCCGGAGGTGGCCGCGGCGATACCTCCCGAGCTCCTTCGCGAGGCGCTCGTCGCGGAGGAGGGCGGCGGGCGACGGTCGGGACGGAAAACCAAAGCGCGCGTGATCATGATCGACGGCGAACCCGTGCTTCGATCGAACGCGTACACGATGGAGGACGGGGAGCCGTCGGTGTTCGATAAGGAGCTGGACAAGGACGCGCGGGAGGAGGGCCGCGAGGCTGGCATGCGAACGTCGTACGTCTTCGAGGAGAAAAAGAAGGGGAAGCCGCGTAAGCCGTACGGGCCGCGCAAGCCGAAAGTGATGACGGAGGCGGACGAGGAAAACTCGCGGCATAACAAAGAGATGATGCGCGAGATCGAGCTCGCGAAGAAGAAGAGGGCGTACTACCTGAAGAACCACATGAAGGCGTTGGCGCCGTTTGTCGAGGAAAAAGTTCGGGATAAAATCATCGCGGACGGCGAAGCGTACGCGCCGTCGGAAAAGATCCTCACGCCCGTGGACAACCAACCGGAGAAGATCAAGGCCGTGCTGCGAGAGTACCAGCTCGAGGGGATTCGGTGGATGACGCGGATGTACGACGACGGGTGCTCGTGCATTCTCGCGGACGAGATGGGCCTCGGGAAGACGCTTCAGTCGATTTCGTTCCTCGCGTGCCTCCACGAGATGCGAAACGTGAAAGGCCCGCACCTGGTGATTTGCCCTCTGTCCGTGTTGTCGTCGTGGATGGACGAGCTCCAGAAGTGGTGCCCGTCGTTCCGCGTCGTGAGGCTGCACTCCACGGACGAGAACGAGCGGCAGCGACTCAGGAAAGAGGTCGTCATGAACGTCGGGTCGTACGACGTCGCGGTGACGACGTACGAGATGGCGTGTAACCCGACGTTTAATCTGACGTTGTCGCAGAAAGTCTACTGGCGGACGATGATCTTGGACGAGGGGCACAAGGTGAAGATCGAAGAAACGGCCGCACATGGGGTGTTATCAAGGGTACACCGCCAGCACACGCTGTTACTCACGGGGACGCCGGTGCAGAATAATCTACACGAGCTCTACGCGATTCTCGCGTTTTTACACCCCGACGTCTTCACCTCCGCGAAAGCGTTCGACGCGGCGTTCGACTTGGGGAGCAAAGAGCACAAGGTGGACTCCGGGACGTTAAATCACGCGCACTTTTTGATGAAGCCGTTCGTTTTGAGGAGGATAAAAGGCGAGGTGGAGGTGAGTCTCCCGGAGAAGACGGAGACGAAGATCATGTGCCCGCTGTCGCCCGCGCAGACGTTTTGGTACCGTCGGCTGTTGATGCGCGAGAGCGGCGCGCTGAACGAGGCCGAGTCGGCGATGTTGAGGAAACACAGCGGCGGCGGCGGTGGGGGCGGCGACGGCGCGAAGTCCTCCGAGGGCGGCGGCGGCGGCGGCGGCGGCGGCGGCGGCGAGAAGAAGCTTCAGTCGCTCCTCATGCAGCTTCGGAAGTGCTGCAACCATCCGTTCTTGTTCGCGGGGACGGACGTCCCCGAGGACGGCGTTCCGATCGAGGAGCTCGTCGAAGCGTCCGGGAAGCTCGCGGTCCTCGATCGCATCTTGAGACGGCTGAAAGACGCCGGTCACAGGGTCGTTCTGTTCTCGCAGTTCACGTCCATGCTCGACATTCTGAGCGATTTTTTAACCCTCCGCGGGTATCAGGCGCGTTCTATACACTGGTTCCCATACGACCGCGTTCGCGTGGTGAACGCCGATCCTTAAGGACTTTTGCCGTCGTCTCTCTCCGCCCAGGTTCCCTCGCTTTCAATCCCCGCCCTCGACGCCTTTCAACTCCATCTGACGCCTTTCAACTCCACCCCGACGTCGCTTCGTATGGAACGACCCTCAGTACGCGAGACTCGACGGCAGCACGAACCGCGTGCAGCGATCCGTGGACATCGCGGCGTTCAACCGCCCAAACTCACCGATGTTTGCGTTTCTCTTATCCACGCGCGCGGGCGGCCTCGGCGTCAACTTACAGACCGCGGACACGTGCATCCTGTTCGACAGCGATTGGAACCCGCAAGTCGACACGCAAGCGATGGCGCGCGTGCATCGCATCGGGCAGAAGAAACCCGTGCACGTGTATCGCCTCATCACCGCGGACTCGGTCGAAGAGCGCATGCAGCAGCGCGCGGAGAAGAAGCTCTTCTTGGAGCAGATGGTCAGCCGCGGCAGCACGAAGCAAGCGGAGGAGCTCGGCAAGCTGGAAAACAACGATCTGTACGGGATGTTGCGCTTCGGCGTTGACGCCGTCTTCGCGAAGGACGCAGGCGAGCCGCCGACGGACGCCGAGCTCGAAATCTTGATGGACCGCACCCCCGAAGGCAACGCGCGACGACGCGAGCTCGCGTCGTTGCAGAGCGAAGTGCAGCACACGGTCGCGGACTTCGCGGCGGACGGCGGCGCCGCGGCGGCGGCGCCGATCAGCACGTACGTGATGCCGAGCTCGGTGAAGGCGAGCGGCGGCGGCGACGACGACGACGCCGCAAACGCCGCGGGCGGGAAAAGGAATAAAAATCAAACGATGAAGGAGATCGCCGCGGAGGTCAACGCGCAGATACTCACGGGGAAACGGGAACGGAAGACGACGACGATGGTCGTCGACGGGCACACGATCCTGAAAGCGAACAACTACTCGCTCGAAGATGGCGAGCCGAGCGTGCACGTGAGAGAGTCCCGAAAAAAACCGCAAGCGGAGAAGAAGCAGCGGGCGCAAGTCGCCGGGAGGGACTACGGACACTCGTACACGTGCCAGGCGTGCTGGGACGGCGGCGACATCGTGTGCTGCGACTTGTGTCCCGTGTCCGTGCACGCGGAGTGCATCGGCGTCACGCAAGACGAGCTCGCGAAGGCGACCAGATGGGCGTGCCCGCATCACTCGTGCCACGAGTGCGGACGGAAATCTGCCGCCGTCGGAGGGATGCTCTTTCGCTGCGAAGCCTGCCCGCGCGCGTTCTGCGAGGATCACCTCCCGTCCAGCGCGGAGATCATAGGGCAGTGTAAGCGGTTCCAGGCGCTCGGACAGAGGCACCCCGCGCAGGCGTGCTTCATTCGATGCGACGCCGAGTGCGTGAAGTGGGCGAAAGAGCGAAGGCTCGAGGACGGCGGCGACGAGGCCGAGGTGAGACTGCTTCCCATACGACCCCGTTCGCGTGGCGCGCGCCGTTCCTTAAGGACTTTTCCCGTCGTCACTCTTCACCCGCGCTTCCCTTTCAACGTTTGACCGGTAAGACGTTCGACTGACCGATCGCTTCACCCACGCAGGAAGCCGCGGCGACCGGGTGGACGATGGGCGCGAAAGTCGCGCTCACGGACGCGTGGATCGAGGAGAGAGACCACGAGATCGACTTGCCGCTGGACACCGCGGGGCGGTCCAAGCCGCTCGCGCACGCCACGTTCACGGACCTCGTGCACTTTTTGTTGCGCATGGAGGGCCCGAAAAAGAACGCGAGGAAAGGCCGACGACCGAAGGACGCCGCGGCGGCTGCCGCGGCCGCGGCCGCGGGCGCCGGCGCCGGCGCGGCGCGGACGTGGGAGGACGAGGCCGAGGAGCTGGACCCGCAGCCCGGCGACACGATCACCCTCGGCGGCGTCGACGCGTACTACACGAAGGGAAGCATGAAACTCGACGAAGTCGCCGAGAAGCTCGGGCTCGACGTCGGAGAGTTGTTGTCGTGGAACAAGCCGGACCTTCCCGGGCTCCACGCCAAGGCGTACCTCCTCGAGCGCACGCGCGTGTGGCTCGGCCCGAGGCCGCCCACCCCGGAACCGGCGTCGGCACCGGTTTCGACCGCGGTTTCAAACGCGGTTTCAAACGCGACGGAGCAGCTCGTCGACCCCGAGGCGGAGCGGAAGCGCCGCGACGAAGAGCTGCTCGCGGCGGCGCAGGCGGCGCAAAACGCGGGCATCGCGAAGGGGCCGCGAGACGGCGCGCTGCTCGGCGACGAGTGCGTGGACGAGCCGATGGTGCTCGGCCGACCGTTGAAAGGGTTGCGGCAGAAGGACATCGACCCGACGGAGCGCGAGGCGATCATGGCGGAGATGTTTAAACGCGTCCGGCCGTTTTTGGAGCGAAACATCGAGAAAGCCGCGGAGCGCGCGAGGGCGCGCGTCAAGGAGGAGGAGGAGGAGAACGCGGAACGCGCCAAGCAGGAGCAAATCCGCGCCGAGCGTTTGCTTCGAAGAACCGAGGGCATCCCGGTGCATCTCCTGTCCGCGACGGCGAGCGACTTTCGATCGACGGCGAAGGCGTCGTCCTCCGCGCCGGCGGCGCCGTACGGCGGCGAGATCACCGACGCGCAGATGGCCGAGCTCGAGCTCGAAATCCTGCGGACGCTCCGCGCGGCGGCGTCAGGTCGCGCGCCCGGCGCCGACGCCTTCGTCCCCGCGGCGAACGTCAAGGTGTCCATGGCTCGACGCGCTCGTCCGGAGATCATCACCGCGTCGCGGACGCGTTGGGACCACGCCGAGCTCGGCGACGCGCTCGGGTTTGTCCTCGCCGTGTGCGCGCTCGACCGCGCGGATAAGATCACGCTGCGGAGGAACGAGAAGCACCCCGAGGCGGTGGACCTCGCGTCGCTCAAGCTCGGTCCGAACGCCGGGGACGTCGCGCCGGACACCGAGGAGACGGAGGCGAGGGCGGCGGCGCTAGAGAAGGACGCGGACCACGGCGTCCTGAGCGCTCGGGACGTCGCCGTCTCCTGCGGGGACGACCTCGTCGGGACGCTCACGCCCGGGGGCAAGCGCGGGGACGAGCAAGTGCGGTACGTCCCGAAAGGAGGTACCGAGGGGAAAGAACTCGTGGTGCCGGCGACGGAGTTTGAACGCCTCGGCGGCCGCGGCAGCACGCGGAAGTGGCGCCAGTCGCTTCGGTTCGTCGGCGACGACGACGAGTTCAAAAACTTACCCGTGGGGAAGTACCTCCGCGAGATCGGCGCGTCGTACCGCGACGCCGTCGTCGGCAGAGCCCTGGAGGTGTTCCACCCGACGGAGGGGACGTACTACGCCGGTGAGGTGACGTCGTATAAGCCCGAGAGCGGCGAGCACGAGGTGATGTACGCGGATGGGAACCGCGAGTGGTTGTACCTGTGCCTGCAGTCCACGCGTTGGCCCGACGGGGTCCCGGAGCGGTTGCCGCCGGAGGAGAAGCCGCCGGGCGGCGGCGGCGGCGGCGGCGGCGGCGGCGGCGGCGGCGGCGGCGGCGGCGGCGGCGGCGGCGGCGGCGGCTCGAAATCCGGTCGCTCCAAGCCGAGGGCGAAGGGCGCGGGCACCAAGGCTGGCCGCGGGCTGCGGTTCGATCCGAGCATGATGAACAAGCCGGACGCGCCGGAGCCGACGGCTCCCGCGGGCCCGCCGCCCGGCGTCACGATCGTGGAAGACGGAATCAAGACGTATTACTGCGTCGAAGCGGAGACCGTGGACGCGGCGGCTGCGTGTCTCAAGATGGACTTCAGGGACGTGCTCGCGTGGAACCGCGCGTTTCATCCGCGCGTCACGCGGCACGCGCGTCTTCTCGCGGACACGCGTCTATTCCTTCAAGACCCGGGGTCGGATCCCTCGAAGATCCCGCCGCCGTCGCGCGGGGACGGCGGCGGGTTGATGGACCCGCCGATGCCGATCGCGCCGCCGCCGCCGGAGACCCTGGACGCGAACGCCGCCGCCGGCGGCGAAATGGAAACGACGATCGACCCGGCGACCGGGGAGAAGCGCAAGGCGGACGGCGAGCCGGGCGACGACGACGCGCCGAAACCCAAGCCCAAGAAGAAGCGCAAATCCAGCGCGAAGGGAGGCAACAAACCTAAGCCCGGGGACGCGGAGGAGGACGTCAAGTGCGAGCTCGAGGCGATACAGGTCGTGCGGCCGCCCGAGGTGGTCGTCGCGAGGTCCGGCGACGGGAAAACGGCGAAGCTCGCGCGCGCGTTTCAGCCGGGTGCGGAGGACGTCGCGATCGAGTCGGGACGCGCCGCCGCCGCCGCCGGAACCGGAACCGGCGCTCCCCGAGGGGGGTGCCGAGGGTGCCGAGGGTG